CCTGACCTCAGTCGTTGTCGAGCCGTTTCCCCCAAATCAAACGTCAAAGAAGCCAAAGCTTTTCACACCAAAGCACGGCTGAAAACTCCCCCCCAAACCAAACATCCAAACATCAAGAAGCCACAGCTTTTCACACCAAACGTCAAGAGGGCGATCGGTTTTGGGGTACCCTGACGAATTTGGGGGTCCCGCGTAGCAGGCTGTTGAGCCGAAACTCGGCCCTTTGGGCTTCAGGCTAGTACAATTCCAGGCCCCCATGAAGAACCTGAGCCTAAATCCTCGTGAAAAAATCCTCGTGTACACTTTGGCTGGCGAATTGGCGAGGGTACCTGGCATTGCTGGCTGGTGAGTGCGGGATTAGGGGAGGGGGGAGGGTGGTGATTGTATTGTATCACAACTCGCAAGGTAACTAAAAAAAAAGAAAACATATTCACACGCATAAAAATATGCATCTCAGATTGTATCAATTACAAACAAGAACTTTCTTTTTTAGCGTGAATGTGAAATGTTGGACTCATATAGAAGACTGCCAGTTTGCTAAATGTCACAAAAATTGCATTAAAAGCCAGGCATGCATTTTGTATTGTAAGTGGCAACAAGTAGATGCATAGTTGCATGGATGCTACGGTATGTAGGCCATTGGGCAAGCCTCTTGTGTTACATTCTGTTCAGCCGTACAGAGCATGTACAGCCATGTCTTGAGGAACATCTCAGATGGTCCAGCCACGTCCTTATAACAGCAGCTGCAGCACCGGATGACCAACCCTGCTCAAGCCACTAGCTAGCTAACCGTCCTCCCCCACCTTCCCATCCATGCAGTTTGCCACCCCTTCTGCCGCCCGAATCCTGATGATATCCGTGGAGAACGTCGAGTAAACCGTGCCATAGAACACGTGAGCCCGCGCACAGATGTACTTCTCTGCCAGTGCCCGCACCACCCCTTGCCTCCCCCCTCGGGTAGGCTCTGCTCTAGAGCCAATAGAGCTCGCCCCCAGGGCTCGTTGTGTGTGTCGGCCCATGCGAAGCGGCTCTCATGCAACGTCACCAGCCTGGTGGCGTTGCTGGCTGCATGGGGTGAGGGGGTGAGGGCAAGGGAACGGGGCAGATAGGATAAACTCATGGTTATGTGCGATGTAGATTCATGAGACTCATTGTGTGAGCATGTGCGAGAGCATGGCGACCTCTGCATCAGTGCCATCAGAGGCGGCAACACAGTGTGCAGGTCGGCAGCAGCAGCGCGCATTTACCCAGCAATCTCATAACCCCCACACTGAGACACATTATTACCTGTGATCAGTTGTGTCAGCATGGCAACCTCTGCATTAGTGCCATCAGACGCGAGCAGCACCGTGTGCAGTTTGGCAGCAGCGTCAAATGTATGACAAACCAACTGCAAGTAGTGAGCCCATGCAAAGGCTGCAGCACCTGACGGTCCCATATTGAGACACTTCATTACCTGTGAGCATGTGCGAGAGCATGGACACTTCAGCTTCAGTGCCATCAGAAGCGAGCAGCACAGTGTGCAGGCTGGCAGCAGCGGCGCGGGAGAGAATGAACGTCCCAACTGCTTCTATGGGCAGGAACACATGCCGCTTGTAGCTCTGCTTCTTTAGATGCCCCGAGAAATCGCCCCTGATTCGTATATTGGAGGAAGAAATAGGGGGGATAATGGTGGCAGTGTGGGGGGTGAGTGCAGCAGCTACCTTATCGCTCGCCCCTGCGGTGCACAACTCTGGAAAGACGAGGCTCGAGACGAGGGGCGGTGTAGCACTGCCTCTAGCTGCCACTCCCCCACCTCATGAGGTGCACAGCTGTGGACTCACCGCCTGAGGTGCACGGCCATGAAGGGAGATGGCAGGTGCGTTGCGATACAGCATGCGGGCGCCACAGGGACTGTGATGTGATGAAGGGCAGTACAGCACTGACTGACTCAGCACCCACTCACGCACCGCCTGAGGTGCACAGCTGTGGACTCACCACCTGAGGTGCACAGCTGTGGACTCACCGCCTGAGGTGCACGGCCATGAAGGGAGATGGCAGGTGCGTTGCAATAAAGCCATCCACGAACTCCATCACAGCAGCGTGCGGCCGCCACAGGTTGCTGCAGTCCGGAGGGACGGTCACGAGTGGCAGTGCTGATTCCAACAGCCAGTCATGGCCAATCACAGACGTTCCCGCCAAATCCCCGAAGGTGAGGATGTGGCCGGCAGGCAGACTGGGCTCCTCATCATTGCTGTCAGAGGTGGTGGTGCCGACTGTAGCAGCTGATGGTGGTGCTTCTGAAACTCCCGCTGCTGCCACAGATGCAGGTGGTGGTGCTACTGCTGAAGCAGCAGGAGGTGGTGCTGTCACTTCAGCTGCTGCTGCTGCTGCTGGTGCTGCTGCTGGCGCTGCTGTAGATGGTGTAACCAAGGCTGCAGCAGGTGATGCAGATGGTGCCGCAGCAGCTGGGTCAAGGGTTGCTGCTGCAGCTGCTGCTGTTGCGTCTGATGATTCTGCTATAGCCGATGCTTGGCTAGCCAAACCCGGTGCTGCCTGAGATGCTGCAGCAGCACCTTCGTCTATTTGTGTGCCCTGCCCCTCTGCACCACTTCCCACCTCATTCAGTCTTCTCCGTGCCGCTGCTCCCTCCCCGCCACTGACTCCTGCTGCCGCACCCACAGCTTCACTTGCACCTGCTGTTGCTGATGCCTCCCCTCCCACTGCTCCGCTCCCTCCTACTTGCTCCTTGCCTTGCTCACCCCCTGAAGAGTCAGTCTGACTCTCTCGCTCCTCCGCTCCTCCTACCTCCCCCGCCTCCGCCCTCTCCTCCTCCCCCTCCACCACCTCTACAGCTTCTAGAAGCTTCTCCAACCGGACCTTCCCCATCCTATCCACCAGGCTCTGATTCACAGCTATCGGGCGGCCTTTCTTGTCCGCTAGCTTGATCCCAGGCACCTCTCGCAGCAGCACTCGCAGCGTCCACTCGTGATTACACGTGGGCTTGAGACAAACCAGGTGTGCCACGTAAGCATGGTCGGAGTGGGAGCGGGAGAGGTAGTCTGGTAGTAGGAGTGTGGTGAGGGGGCCGTAGGAGGGGGCGAGGCAGGTATGTAGTCTGGGGAGATTAAAGACGGCGGTCCAGGGCCAGATTAGGTTTAGGCCGGTGTGCTGGGCGACGGCGAGTGGAGGGATGAGCAGTGTGCGGTTTAAGAGGACGGCGAAGATGAAGTAGGTCATTATGCACTCCTGCTGCTCTGCGGGGCGGGGGCGACGGGGGTGTGGGGAGGGCCAAGGGGAGGGAAGGAGGGGAAGGGAAGAGAGAGGCGATTTTTTAGTTGAGTCAGGAGACGGCGAGGGGGTGGATTAGCAGCGTGCAGTTTAAGAGGACTGCGAAGATGAAGTAGGTCATTATGCAATCCTGCTGCTCTGCGGACGCGGGAGGAGAAGGGGAGGGAAAAGGGTGGATGGAAGGTAGCTTTGAGATGCCTCACATGTGGAGAGGGATGGGGAGAGGGATGGGGAGAGGGATGGGGAGAGGGATGGGGAGAGGGATGGGGAGAGGGATGGGGAGAGAGATGTGGAGAGGGATGGGGAGAGGGAGGTTGAAAGAGGGGGGAAAGAGGGAGGGGGTAAAGTGGGAGGGGGTTAAGGAGGGAGGGGGAAATGGGAGGACATAGAGGAGAGGTAGAGAAAGGAAAGGAGAGGTTCTGGGTGGGGTGGAGCCGAACGAGAGATGACTCACTTTTCCATACCTGATTGGCCAGTCTCCGTTCCTCTGGCACCTAATTGGTCAGTCTCCTTTCCCCGGTACCTGATTGGTCAGTCGTCCAGTGGTGCAGAGCGCCAGGAGGTATTTCCCCTTACGCGGACGCCAACCCCCCACCAGCTTGCGTTGACTCGCAACGGCTTCCATGGGGATTATCTTATTCGCCATCGTGCCGTTCGGCCCCTCACACTCCTTCGGCTTCCGTAGCGAAAACAGGAGCTTTCGCCGCTCCGTGGTTACATCTTCGCGAGTAGCGACGGAGGTGGTGGGGTTTTCGCGAGGCGCTGGGCGTGGTATGAGAAGCAGGATGAGAAGCAATGGCGAGACAAGGAGCAGCGAATGCAGTGACACTGACGAATGATGACTGAAAGTGCGACTCCATGTTGATGCGGTGGAAGCTATTTTCGTGCCCGATTTCACGGAAATTACCGGCATTGATTTCGATAACGTGAGCGAGTACCCGCAACAGGCAGATCTATCCCACAGGAAGCCGACTATTTCCCCGCTTTCATCAACCCAGCGTTGTGGAAAACATTCTACCTTCGCTAGGAGGGGAAGGTAGAGATTGGGAACCAAACGCGTTACAGTCATCTCCATCAAAATTGTACCTTGTAATTTCGATAGTTCAAGACTATATAAATATAGTGGAGGTTGTGATTCGACACTCCCGAGGCAGCCTGGAGAGGTTCGCGCCAAACCGAAATCTACCTGGGAGACTCAATTGCGACCCAATTTCCGAAGGCGGAGCTTCGGGAATTCCAGGGTTTTTTTCAAAACGGTACCTCCAATCGAGCAAGCCGTTGGAGCAAAATGTGCTGAAACCTGAAATCCATGCATTATCATGCCAAGATTATATGGTATTTTCAAGGATTCTCTCGGACGTTACTGTCTACGGCTCTGAGAGGTTAGACAGACTGACGCAGGACACTAGGATTCACGAGTGTTACCAATACCCATCATCGCTCTGTCTGTCACCAGAGCACCAGTAGCATACGGTGTCTAATCCGCCTTGCCAACAATCCCGTTGTCCAAGATAAGAATTATTCTCTATCTTCCATTCTCCAGGCTTCTGGCTTGAAGATTCGTGCTCTCATGGCGTCATTATCATAAGGCGTCGTTGTCGCGGAAATTTCAGGCCGGTCGCTAGGTAGCCTGGTCGCAAAGCGTCGCAGTTATCGCAGAGCTTCGCTGAGTGTCGCAGAGCCATGGAGGACGGCTTAATCTCGCCGTTACTTCGCTCGGACAGTCGCATGGGTCCCATCCTCCCGTCTCATCACGCTCCCTGCGATGACAGCACGTCGCACGTGTCGCATCATCCCGTGCGGCTAGCATCGCTTGACGTTTTCCGCGGAATCAGCATCGTCGTGAGTACGCCAATCTGGCCTCAAATCGACTCAACGATCACCACTCACACCTGCGGGCTCGTCGCGTCGTTCCGGGCAATCTCCAGCACCACTTACTCGCAATCACATTCCAAGCCATGTCGAGCATCCCAACCCCACGCCAATGTCGACAGCATTGCGAAGCTCCATCATTGAAATCCATGTTTCCAATGCTTCGCACAGTCATTGGCTGTCTGGCTGTCGCATTCCAACTCAAACTCCGTCAAATCCCCACAGCGTTTTCGCAGGTTATGTTCTTGGGGGTGGGAGTGTCCCCCTGGGACGGGCTGCAGCTGAGAGACCTTATCGCTTCCAACTTCCTCTCCTTCTCCTCGCCTCCCTGCAGGTCATGATAGTGGCGCTGGACGTGGGTCAGGAGGAGCCATGGGTGGGAGTGTTCCCCTGGGACGGGCTGCAGCTAGGCGACCTCATCGTTCGCTTCTTGAGACGTTTCAAGGGTCCCCTCTTCCTCCCTGCAGGCAATGATAGTGGCGCTGGACGTGGGTCAGGAAGTGCCGTGGGTGGGAGTGTCTCCCTGGGACGGGCTACAGCTGGGAGACTTCGTCGCTCCGTTCTTCCTCTTCGCCTCGGGCGCTGCAGCGGCGCTCACCTTCAGAGCCGTGCACAGCCGCACTGCGGCCGTGCACAGGATTCTCGGACGTGCCTGCTGCCTCTTTCTCCTCGGCCTCTTCCTTGAAGGTTGCCACCCTCCCCCTCCCTTTGCCTACCATCAACAACAAACTTTCTTGACTTGTTTCTCGAACATTGCCAGCGTGTCTCTGCCTGCTTTGGATATCAGCCAACCGTATCGCTCGCACGTCACTTGTGGCTTTCACCTGTTTGCACTCTCCTTCTCACTCACCCAGGTTTTCTTCCCCGTCCTCTCAGTCATACCCCTTCCCTCTCACTCACAACTTTCTCCTCTCACTCTCGGACACCATTCATCACCACACCTCGACTTTCTCCTTGCCTCTCCCTCCACCTTCCCGGCACCTTCCAGGTGGCTTCCTGCACAGAACAGGGGACCCTGAGTTTTGGCATCAGTCTGACGCGCTATGCGCATCTGCGGCACGCTGCAGCGCATAGCTGTGGCCTACACAGTGGTAGCACTGGCGCAGGTGCTGCTATCCGCGCCCAAGGATAGCCACACAGAGGGATATGGAGAGGGGCTATCCGGCTTGTTATCCTTCTCCCTCCTCACCTGGTCAGTCCGTTCTCAGGTTCAATCCAATGCATGATTCCCTGGAATCATGAAGTACCACGAGATTTTCTGGTTTTGCATTCCTCTCTAGCTGCAATTTGTCCCGCCCTAAGCCGTTTTCCTCCCCTCCCATGTTTCGCCTCCCTCTCATCATCCCTACATCGATGCATGAAACACCCCCCTCCAGGCAGGCGTCGCTCATTGCTAGCTGCAATCTACCTCGTCCTCACCCTTCCTCCTTCCCTCCCATGTTACACCATTCATACCTTACATGGGCGCATGAACCACCCCCCTCCAGGGAGGCATCGCTCATGCTAGCTGCAATCTACCTCGCCCTCACCTTCCTCCTCTTCGTGCCTGACTGGACCTTCACTCCCCCCACCTCCTCCGCCTCCCTCTCTGCCGTCAACTCGACCTTCCTTCCCCTCGCTGCGTCAGCTGTCAGCAGCCCGTCTCAAGACCTGCTGGTCAGTGAATGGTTGCAAGAGGGAATTCCCACCACTGGAATTGGAAAGTTAGAATGCAACTGGAAGATAGAATGAGTTGGCAATAACTTGCGTTCGGAAATAGCATGCCCCCTGTCAAGCGCATGCCACAGTTGATCGCAACCGCGGTCGTCAGTAAAAACACCCATCTCTGTCTTCTCCCGTCCTGCCATAACCCATCTAACGTCACTGAATCCCGTTCTCTCGGCCAGCTCTCACCTCGTTTCGTCAAACTCCACTTCCCTACCTTCCCACCTACATCCTCCCTCGCGCTTCATCAAAGTGTGCCTGCCTGCCCTGCCTGCACACTCGTGCCTTACTGTCCACCATTCTCCATGCCCATCAGGTGGTGTGCTCTCGCACTGGAGACCTCTCCCCTGCCTGCAGTGCTGCGGGCTACATCGACCGACTGCTGCCTCACCACCAATCACCTCCTCGCCTTGCCTCCCTACACCCAATTGCCTGTAAGCTTTCCGCACATGACCAGGCCACTTCACACATGTGCCTGTCTTTGTGTACGTTTGTGGACCAGTGTAGCTTCTTCTCGCCCCATTCTACATGCCTGAAGCCTCGCTACCCTCTCCCATCCTCGCCCCAGCAGGCAGAATTTTTGTCCATCTCTGCCTCGTCCGTTTCGACTTTGCTTTCTCGTCCCCTGCTGCAGGAGTGCGTGTTTCCTCCACTCTCGTTTCGCCACCATCACTCCCTCGCCCTACCATCCTCTGGCGACCAGGCACCCCCTGTGTGGTGCTCTGCACCGTTTGAGGCCCTGGGGCTGCTCAGGTGAGAGCAGGGCATGAAGGAGACATTTGTGGGTTGGGGTCGGGCATGCGGAGGGTTGGGGTGGTGGGGCTCGGCGTGTGAGGGTGGGGGTGTTTTTCCCTCTTTCCACCATTTTCACACTCCAACTCCTCATTTCTTACCTTCTCCTTCCCTGCTCCCAGTAGACCTGGCGCCTCTGAACAAGTCTATTCGTGTCCACTCACTCCTCTCTCCGCCTTCCCTCTCCCCTGCTCTTCTAACCAGCACATTGGGTGCCACACTCACAGCCTTCATGGGCTTGCACCTGGGCCACATTCATCACCAGCTTCCAGGTAACCACGCTCCCAGTCAATACCCATTCGGCCAATCTCCCCTCCCATTGCACTCTCCTTTTCACTAACTTCTCTCGCGTCTAGGACTAGCCTTCTCGTCTCTCTATGTGTCCTGCTTCTAATCTCGCCTTCCTCCCAAATCATCTCCTCTCCTCATCCATGTCTTCTGTTTCTTCCCTTCTCTTCCCTTTCTCTCCCGTTCACCCCCTCTCCGGTGTTCCATGGTCCACCACAGAGCCATGCAGCGCGCATCATCAACTGCCTTTTCTTCTCTGCTCTCCTCGTGGCGGCCGGGTTCCTCCTCCAGTTCCCTTCTCTTTCTCCCTCCACCACGCCATCCCCATGCGAACATCCCCGAGTGCTTGACATATCCTACCCTGGTACAGTTGCATTCGTTTGTTTCATGTTTCTCCGCACAGTGCTTCCGTTTGCAGCAACCTATCACCCCCCAAAACGACAATTAACACCCTTGTTTATTCTCTCCTGCTGTGTTCTTGTCCCCCCGTTCCTCAGGTCTGCCTTTCAATGCTCAGCTGTACTCGCTAAGCTATGTCCTCATAACAGCAGGAGCTGCCGCACTCCTTTTCGCCCTCATCTACCTTTTGTAAGCAACCCTCCCATCACCAACGAGCTCAAACATATGTGATTTGATGTAGTAGCTCTGTCTGGCAAACGTATGTTCACATCAATCCTTCCCAAAGCACAGTCGCACATTCTTTTCTGTTGCTTCTCCTGTCCCCTGCACGCATCTCTCCCAGGTGGACGCGGCGGGAGTGTGCTTCTTACACGCTCCTCTTTGAATGGATGGGCCGCAAACTCCCTCTTCCTCTTCCTCGCCTGCGCCACTCCGCTCCTCTCCTCCATCGCTGCTGGCTTCTACTGGGAGAACCCACATGAAAACCTTGTGAGTTTGTACCTCTTCCCACCTCCCTCCTGCACACACTCTATGAAACATCCATCATTCCCATAGCTCTCTCAACATTCCCTTTCCCTCCACCACACACGTCTGCTTCCCCATCCCTTATCTGTTCATCCCTGTTTGTGGTTCTCCCCCGCTATCGATGCGTGTATTGGTCCAGGTGTCGCTTCTACATAATCTGCTGCTATGGATGGGCCACGACTCCAAAACGGCAGCAATCGTAACTGCTGGTTCCAAAGCACTGTTTTGGTCACTTGTTGCTGGCTTGATGTCATGGCAAGGATTTTACTGGCGTGTATAAATTTCGCTTCGCCAAAAATCTGTCTCAACTTACTATGTGAGATATTGTCTGATTACCCACATCAAAGAAGTGCTGGTTTTATCACAAAAAAACATTTTTTCAATCATCTCCTGGGTAATCTAATTGCCCTGACTCTCAAAACAATTTCATTACTCCGACATCCACAAATATTGTCGAACGCCTTCTCCGACATCTCCGAGTTTTTACCGCGTACAATACCCGCCTTATGGTTCATTCTGCTCTGCTGCCTTGTCAGCTGACATAGGTATTGCCGCATTCCACGATCAGGCACGCGCTATTTCTATCACCCTCCTCAGATAGCTACGATTCAAGCAAAGCACCGAAGTTCGTCACCTCCCGTTTCTCCCCGTATTACTGCGACCCTCATTTGACGGTGGCTCTCGACTGCTTTTCAAACCGATTCCAGCTTCGAAAGCCGTAAATTCCTTTTTTTCCCGTTATCTCTGACGTGGGAAAGTGTAGTCTGCAAAGGACGTGGCAAGCTCCTCGCAGGTTCGTCTTCTAAGGCCTAGCGGTTTCCTTCTTACTGACGAGTTCAAAGCATCGTTTGTGGTTTTTTTTTTTAATCACGGGTTCGTGCTGTCGTTTTACCGACATCGTACTCGATCTAGCGGACAGTCACACGCAATGTCGCGTTTCTTTGGTCCCCCGTGCTCATTGATTCACAGGCTGATTCTTTCCTGACCGTGCGAGCCTGATCTAAGTTTCCTCAGTCGGCCTAGCGAGGGTTACGCAGTTACCAGCATGGCAGCGTTCCTCGTCATCACGCTCATCTTCTTCGCGCTCGGCTTCCTAGGCTGCGTGCTCGTTAGGGTTCTCTACGATAAAGGCCCGTCAACGAACCTGTGCGTTCACCCAACCCCGTCCACTTTCGCTCCCGTTATTGTCACATGTTTCATTCCCTTCACAGGCGTTTCTGCTCTCCTATGATCTCTATCAGCTTCTTGACACGCTAACATTTTCGTCTCACCATTCCTGCTCTCATCCCTTTCCCTCTCGTTCTTTTCATTCTCCTGCCCTTGGCCTCGTCTGCTCGCGAGCCAGGCTGCATGTCACGCTGGTCATCACCGCAACATCTGCTGCTGGCTCTCGTGAGTGCTCTCAAACCAGTAGTGTAGCGAGTTGACATTTGATTCCGCTCGAATTTCATTTGCTGCTGGCTCTCGTGAGTGCTCTCAAGCCAGTAGTATCAACGCGTTTTCTCTCGGCTCTCTGAGCCCTCTCTTTCTACCGCTTGACGATTCTCACATTGCTAGTTTCACGCAGCTCACATCGTCCCTCCCTTAGTCGTGTTCTTAACAACGTCCCAGCCTGCTTATGCTCCCCACACCATTTCCGCCCTCCCTCCATGTCTCTCATCATGCCTGATTCATGTGTCTCACGCCTTATTCATGTGTCCCATGCCTGAATTATGTGTCTCATGCCTAAATCACGTTTCTGAGTCCCATGCGGCCAGGTTGCATGTTTGAGTGTGTGTCATGTGCCTGGATAACGTATTTGTAGTCCTCTCATCAGCAAATTCCCTTATCGTCTGTATTCATGCGTCATATTTGCTTAATCCTGCATCTCCTGTATCTCTGTCTCATTGAGCATCTGATTTTATGTGCTTGAACCTGAATGTGACAGGTGGGCGATTGTGTACATGGCACAGATGCATCCCCTTGTGGTGCCTATACTCAAGGCGGAAGGAGAATAAGCATTTGGGGATTACCATACTGGCAACGTGGAACTTTTTCATGGTTTAGTAGCACTGGGATACACAAGCAGGAAGTAGAAGCAGCAGTGTTGGAACTACCCAGCATCAATCTCATCATCCTTTCTCATTACGTATATGGATGACTCAATATTAGCAACATATGGTAGCTGGCTGTACCACTTTCTACAGGAGAAAACACTCAAAGTCCACCATTTGTGCAATAGTGTATTGAGCAGTGCTTATCAAAATTAATAACCCATATGTACCGTACATTAGGAAACCACCGTAGTTTGTAAATCTAACAGGCAGCAAAAAAATGCACAATACCTTCTCCAATGCCTTACAGTAACGCTGTATTGGAAGCACGGTATCATGATGGTCTGACGGGTTTTTTTATCAGTGTAATTACTCTGTTTCTCTGAAAATCAGAGTGGTTTCTGGGGGGTCACTCTGTACCTCCTGGGTACCGTAATTTTTTTTAGAGTTACTTGTTCCTCTGATCAGTCAGGTTTTTGTTTAAGTTCACTCTGGAGCGCCAGTGTTACTTTCTCGGATAGTGAGATTACTCTGTACGGGGGATACATGTACCCCCGAACCCCCACGTTCCCCCTTATCCCCTCGTTGCCGGTTTTGACCGGAGCGCAGGGGATATCAGTCTTGGTTCGCTCGTGTGTTGGCACTACTTGAGGTTCTGATTGGCCGGAATTGCATATTTCGTGCCAACGCACGCATCTGGCCACCCACCAGATACAATCGCTGGCTGTTGCGTACCCCATCAGCAATGAACAACTCCTACTTTCGGGCATGACACGGCAGCTTCCTTTGGTGCGATGGTTTCGTGCGCGGCGCGCACATTCACACATGTTGCTCGGCTGACAGACGGGGTCACCACCAAACCCCATCCTGTCCTCCCATTATGTTTCTTCCCATTGCACTGCTCTTCAACGTTTCAGTATAGCGAGTGTGTAGTGGGCTTCTCCAGCCACAGCTCCTCCTCCTGCACCTTTTTTGTGCTGTCAATACCAGGATACTAGCGACGCCGAGGGAGACGCGGCTGATGCCGACGACAGGCCGACATGTAGCACACCCCTGCGACTGGGCTTCAGTTCCTCCGCTCTGTGCGTGAAGATTACGTTCGCGATGAAGAGGCGCTGGGCGATGGCTGGTACCGAATGGATGCGACGTCCACGGAAGGAATCTGGCGACATGGAAGATGCGAACGACGATTGGTGTCCATCTCCGCGCCCGATGAATGACGCTGCTGAGACAGACGGTGTTGAGGAGTGGATCGCCTCGCCGCGAAACGAGGTTGCTGTAGAGCCGGCTGCAACGGTTGCAACGGAGGTTGTCGATGCGGCCACTACTGAGTCGACTGGTTCAGTCGCTGTGAAGAAGTGACGATTAACGCAGCAGGTTTGCAGTGGGGAACACCGCCGCCGAAGGCCTCTCGCTCCACCTCCCCGTCCTGCCCCACCCCCCATTCGTCCCCTTTCAGACGAGGAGAAGAAGGAGAAGGCCTACCTGAAGGCGCAGAAGAGCTACACGTCTGATTGGCTACCGAAGTTTGACTGGCTGATTCTGGACAGGACCCCTGAGGGTGACCCGTGTCTGCGCTGCAGTGTCTGCACGGAGCACGGGAAGGACAACGCGCGTTACGGTCGCAATGGCGCTGGTGGTCGTGATCTGCAGATCGGGTCCATGCGGTGGCACGAGAACAGCGCGAAGCACGAGGACGCGATATGAACAAGCAGGCGAACCTTCTGCAGAAGATCGCCGACCAGAAGAAGATTGAAGACTTCGCGAAGGGAGATCCAGAAGGCTGTCGTGTCGCGGTACTCATGCGAGCCATGCGATTTGTGTGCCGTACCGATACACCCATCCACATGTACCCACAGATCGTGCAGCTTCTCGCAGAGGAGGGGGTCGCCAACATACCGCGACATAGCTATGGAGCGTGCATCACACAGTGAGTTGTTGTTGTCTCTGTTGTTCTTGAAGCAACCGTTTATGTTTATGTATGCTAATGCGTTGTGCTATGTGTCTGCGCAGGTACGGTTTTCTCCGAGATGGCCAGGGCTCTCGCCGTGTATCTGACCAGAGAACAATTGCGCCACCTCCACGCTTCGCCCTTCATCGGCATCATGTGCGACGAGAGTACCGATCGAGCCCGTGGCAAACACATGATTATGTTTGTCACGTTCCTCAAGAACAGCGTGGTTGTAACCAAGTTCCTCACGTTACTTACCGTCCAGCAGTGTGATGCAGCATCGCTCGTGAACGCACTACTCCAGCATCTTGAGACGGTGGGCATCGACTTGCAGAAGATTTCAGGAATGTCCACGGACGGCGCGGCAGTGATGATCGGGGGCACGTCCGGCCTCGTCACACGATTGCGAGTCCACGTTCCCCACCTTGTCGGCTGCCACTGCATTGCGCATCGGTACGTTTGTCTTGCCTGCGAAATAGAGTGTCTGGTTTAACGTTATTTTGTGTTTCCAACTTATTCATGTAACTATCTTATTCATTGTTTCCAACTTTTGCTTGCAGCGAAGCACTTGCTGTGAAGGAGACTGCCGGTGACGAGCAGTTCAAAGATTTTGGGATGGTAGACAAGGCCATCCGTGCAGTTGGCGAGATCATGGGGAGATCCACGCCGTGGTACGAGAGGTTCAAAGAGCTCCAACTCGTGATCCACAGCACCAACCTCGAGCACCAGGGACTGTTCGACGTGCGCTGGCTCTCCCGTGCCGATGCTGTCAACCGTCTTGTCAAGATTTTGGGGTCGGCAATCGTGCTGTTCCTGGAGTACAATCACAAGATCGTCGTGGTTGTGAAGACCCTGAAATTTCATTTCTGTTTGTACTTCCTGGCAGACATTTTGGGGGAGTTGAACTCCCTGAATCGTTTTCTTCCAACGATGCAAGGTAAATGGGGCCTAAAGGCTTGTTGATACACACGTTTAACTGTGTTCATTATTCTTTTTAACGCAGAGAGACTAACAAAAAAAATTACCCCGTGTCGGTCTGGCAGGTGGAGGTGACGCAAGTCACAGAGGAGGTCGACCGTGTGGTCTCCCTCATCGAGCACCGCTACATCGACTACGAGGGTGGTTTCGGGGCGGGTCTGAGCACCCACTTGTCTCCATTCATGGCACGGGTCAAGAAAGGGGACAAGAAGGTGAAGGTGGACGGTGTGGACGCTAGCGGTAGACCCGTCAGGCACACCTTCGAGCTCAGCGAGTTGCCGGACAAAAAGCACAAGTTCGGCGGGTCCTTGGCAGATTGCGTGAAGATGGGCAAGGCGTTTGCCCGTGAGGTCGTGTACAACCTGAAGCACCGCATGCGAGATCTTTGTCGAATGGGCGGCATGAAGCTGTTCAGGGTGGACAAGTGGCCATCGAATCCGGACACGCATGCGAGGACGATGTGCCACATGGCTCCGTGAGAACTCACAACTCTTCAGCCACCAGCTGCCAGGTATTTGGAAATCTAATTTCGTTCGTGTTTGTTGCTTTTCTTCTAAAAATGCCTTGTGTAAATGTCTACCGAAAGTTCCCGTACAACGAAATCCCTGTGCTGTTCATACTGTGTTGGCAGGATTCGACCTGCGGGCAGCCGAACTAGAACTGAAAACTTTCTGCCACATCATGAGGACGCACCACGAGGACGAGGACTTCTACCAGGCGCTGACGAACATGCTGAGGTCACTGCGATTGGCCGCGAACTTACCCCAACATCATGACCCTGTGGCAGGCGTTGGCCGTCCTGCCACTCAGCACCGTCGAATGCGAGCGTGGATTTTCACGCCAGAACATCATCAAGAGCTGGCAGCGCACGACTCTCAACGACACGCGGCTCACTGAACTCATGAGCATCCACATGCTCGACTACAACGTGGAGTGGCCAGATGTCGTGGACATCTGGCGCAAGCACAAGAAGAGGCGGCCGACAAAATCCCCTGCACCCTTCCAACCAGCGGCTGACAAGAACAAGCCTAAGGCCAGTGCGGACGACGAGGAGGAGGCTGACGTGGCAGAGGATGAGTGAGCCATAGTAGTAGGATAGGATAGGACATTGTGTACAACGTGTCTAGGAATTATATTTGTTACATTTCTAACTATGCAACAGCACAAGAACCAACGCGTACACACACAATAGGGTTAAAGCCAGCAGGCAAAATAGTGACCCCCCCCTTCTAGTCGGGTCCACTTGAAGATGAAGTATTTTTGTTTTGTTTTGGAATGTTGGAATTGCTGTATGTGTGCTTTTTTTCCGACCCTCGGACGAGTTTCTTATTGGACCAGGAACAATAGTTCATTGTCAATTCTGATTGGCAGCCATGTTCTCTCATATGTACATGTGCGAATTTGGCGCAAAGTTGAGCGACGAGCACTCCTGCATTCACTAGAGCCAATACTTCATCAAATTCACAACTAGCAACATCTCACGCTAAATCCCAAGCAGACACACATGTACGTGATGAGAGAGAAAGTGTTTGAACGTTATTAGAGCTAGTAGAGCTCTGATCAATGTGCTGCCTTGGACTTGAGGCCTGGGAGAGGTGCAATAACGGGAAACAGAAGAGAAAAACAGCACTAGGGGGGAAATTATGATGGGCAAGGTGACGCGAATGAAGAGAAAGAGGGAGGGCGACGGGAAACGGGGAGGGCGACGGGAAGGGAGGGCGTAGGAAACGAGAGGGCGACGGAAGAAGGGGGGCGACGGGGAAACGGGAGGGAGGGCGACGGGAAACGGGAGGGCGACGGGAAACGCGAGGGCGACGGGAAACGCTGAGGGGCGACGGGAAACGGGAGGGCGACGGAAAACGGGAGGGCGACGGGAAACGGGAGGGCGACGGGAAACGCTGAGGGCGACGGGAAAAGGGAGGGCGGCGGAAGAAGGGAGGGTGACGGGAAACGGGAGGGGCGACGGGAAACCGGAGGGCGACGGGAAACGCGAGGGGCGACGGGAAACGGGGAGGGCGACGGGAAAAGGTGAGGGCGACGGGAAACGGGAGGGGGGCGGGAAACGGGGAGGGCGACGGGAAATGGGAGGGCGACGGAAGAGAGGATAGGCGGCGGGAGAGAGGGTGTCGAGAATAGATGGAAAGACCAAAAAAACAAACAAACCAAACACAATAACATAGTACGGAATGGGTCACGCTGACGCGATAGCAGAGGGAGAACGAGAGAGGCGACGGAGAAAGGAGGGCATACGTGATGGGAGAGTCGAAGGTCGCCGGGAGGGCTATTCGAGGCGAGCGAGAAGGGAGGATGGGAAGGGAGCAGAAAGAGAGAGGGCAATGGGAAGGGAGCGGAGAGAGAGAGCGCGACGGGAAGGGAGCGGAGAGAGAGCGCGATTTGAAGGGAGGAGCGAGAGAGAGGACGGAGCGGAGAGAGAGAACGCGACGGGAAGGGAGGGGCGAGAGAGAGGGCGACGGGAAGGGGGCGGAGAGAGAGAGCGCGACGGGTAGGAGGGGCGAGAGAGAGGGCGACGGGAAGGGAGCGGAGAGAGAGATCGCGACGGGAAGGGAGAGGCGAGAGAGAGGGCGATGGGAAGGGAGCGGAGAGAGAGAGCGCGACGGGAAGGGAGGGGCGAGAGAGAGGGCGACGGGAAGGGAGCGGAGAGAGAGAGCACGACGGGAAGGGAGGGGCGAGAGAGAGGGCGAGGGGAAGGGAGCAGAGAGAGAGAGCGCGACGGGAAGGGAGCGGAGAGAGAGGCCGACGGGAAGGGAGCGGAGAGAGAGCGCGATTCGAAGGAGGAGCGAGAGAGAGGGCGGAGCGGAGAGAGAGAGAGCGATGGGAAGGGAGGGGCGAGAGAGAGGGCGACGGGAAGGGCGCGGAGAGAGAGAGCGCGACGGGAAGGGAGGGGCGAGAGAGAGGGCGACGGGAAGGGAGCGGAGAGAGAGAGAGCGCGACGGGGCGAGCGACGGGAGGGCGATCGGTAGGGAGGGGCGAGAGAGAGGCCGACGGGAGGAGAGGAGGGGAGAGAGGGCGACGAAGAGGGCGACGGGACAGGCGACGAGATGGCGACGTGACGGAAAGGGAGACGGGTGGGCGATTTGGCGAACTCGAGGATAGCATAGTGGGCGATGAGAGGGGTGAGAGGAATGGCGACGGGAATGGGGTTCTCTGTGCTCGCGAGGAAAATATCACTACGCAGCAACGGCAACGAAGTATCACAAACAATCTAATGATAATTTCATTTCTATGCCGCATCAGCCTAATCCCTCGTCTCTGGCTATTCTATGCTAGGCAAGCTCCGTGAGTTAGGCAAGCTATGTGAATGGAGTTGAAGTAAGCATATGTGGAACCCAGGCCCAGCTTGAAAGTCGAAGTCGGGTCCAACCATCAAAACGCACGACAAACAACTGTCGTGCAAATGTCGCATGCAGAAAATGCGAACGCGCGAGCACGATCTGATTTCTTTTTTTTGGTGGGAACGAATCACGTGTGTTCAGTCTGTGGAAGGGCGATGCCCAGAACAGTGTTTTACACAGCCCATCGTCGTTCCAGTTTTGCTTCTTCCGAGCACGATTTCAAGTTGGATCCGCCTTCACTATTTTATATTTCGGTTTTAATGATAAAAACTACTCTGAGGTGCCAGGGTTCTTAAACTGACAGCCTGTGTTACACTGACATTTAAGAGGAAGGCTCACCAAACACTCTGAATTTCAGAGTACAGCCAAAAACGCCTCTGGAAACCAGTGTACTCTAAAACGAAAAAAAACCCCTGGGTGTGAGTGAAACTGTCCTGGATGAGGACTTATTGTCTTGCCATGCCACCAACATCTGCAGAGAAGTCATCATTCCACAGCAGGCTTGCCATCCCCTCAGCAGCAAATACCGGGCAGGAGCTGGGCAGGGCACAATGCCAGCCACATTGGGCATACGGTACTGTGTCAATGAAAGCCAGTCAGCCATAGCTCAGCCCAGTGCAACAAACCACTTCAGCTTCCCAACCAGACGTACATGCAGTAATCATTCCTCCACAGTAATGCCGGGATCTTTAGCAGAACGAGAGGGAGCAGAGGAGCACTAAGCAACTCCTCACTAGCCACTCTCGTTGAAGCCACTCAACTCAACCCAGCTCAACCCAACCGAACCCAACCCGGGCAGGGCCGTCACTCTTCAACAACCGGTCTACCCTCTGGCTCGTCCACAGGAAACGGCAGGGCTGATCCAGCCACTATCTCCGCCATTGCTCCACAGTACAGCGCATCAAACCCTGGAATGTTTTGATTCAACTCAAGTCACTCTTCCACAGCAGGTCTACCCTCTGGGTCGTCAACAGGGAATGGCAAAGCTGAGCCAGCCACTATTTCCGCCATTGCTCGGCGATACAGCGCATCAAACCCCGGAGTGATTCGACCCTTCTTCACCCCTCCGAACCTCACCCCACCATGCCCGTCCGCAGCCGCTGATCCTCCTCCTGCTGCTGCGGCTGCTGCTGCAGCTGCTGCCACTGCGGCTGACAGTGGGTAAGCAGACGATGGTGGTGATGCGGCTGCTGCTAGTGAAGGGTTGACTTCTGCTCCTGTGGTGGTGGAAAGACATGCTCTGCTGCCTGTCGACTGCTGCTGGCTGGGAAACACCGCTCCCTCCTGCCCTTGCTCCTGAAAGGACACCACAAGAGAAACACCATGCAAGTCATGTACCCGAGCAGGCATGTGTATAAACATGTGCATACATGTGGATTCACACATGTGAATATACACATGGATACATGTACATACATGTGGATGTACACATGTGAATACATGTGGATACAGGTGCATACAATAGTCAAGACAGCGAAGGCGTCGAGCGTACCCGTTCTGACGCATGCTGTCCAGAATAATGGTCACAGTCATAGTCGTAAACTTACCTACTCGTACTCACACTCACGTGCTGCAGGTGCTCGGCAGTGTACTTGGAGATGTAGAAGTTAGTCTTAGCCCACGTGCCCTGAATGGTCAGCTCGCACTCACTCTCACTCACACCTTTACTCGCACTCACACTCATACTCACTCGGATACACCCACAGTTCACACTCACGTGCTGCAGGTGCTCGGCAATGTATTTGGAAATGCAGAAGTTGGTTTTGGCCCTTGTCCCCTTCTGAATGATCAGCGCGCGATCGTACTGCTCTGCTGCCGCCTCCTCCGTCTCATACACGCCTAAAGACACGTTTCGCCGCCCGAAATACGACCCGATGCGCGCCTCCCACCGCCCCTCCTGCCCTGACACCCCGCGGAATTTGGAGCGACCACGGGAGAAGGCCCTGAGCGCGTGAGGAGGGGGGACGATGGGAGCGGGAGAAGGGCAGGGCAACATAACTGTTAAGGCATCGTCTTAACTCTTGCATTTTTCCTGCACATTGTGTATCAAAGTTGAAAAAAAGAGACACACGAGAGCACTAAGGTTGTAACTTACGAGCTCTCCCTTCTTAGTTTCGCGATGAGCGCCTCGCAGGAGATCCCAAGATACTCCCCAATGCTGTCCGCATAGCTCTCCCTTGGGAAGTTGGTGATTGCCTCTGCTCCCTTGCACGCCAGGGCTGCTATGTCATACGCCCGTGCTGCTTTCTCTTCAGCGTCGTATCCACCTGCGTGAAGTGAGGACAGGGATCGATGTGCGTGAGCACTAAACATAGGAGGGACTTGTGAATGAGATTGGTACACGCACCCACTCACCCTCACACCTTCTCACCCACTCACCCTCTCACCCTCACCCACTCACCCAGGTAGAGTTGCTTCTTGTTGGTCCATAGCGACGCCTCCCACCGCTTGGTCAGCCTGGAGGGTGAGGTAAATTGAAATAAAAAACGGGAGGATGGACGGCAGAGTGAGGTAGAGCTACAGCCGGAAGACCAGGCGACAACAGGAAGAGAGCCTATGATGACTCAGGACCGACCTGAGATGACTCAGCACTGACCTGTGATGACTCACGCCCCTGAACCTCGACTTCACAGGGGGATCTCTCTCCCCTTCCGCTCCTCCCACCACCCCTGCTGCTGCCACGCTCACTGCTTCTTTCACCTCCTCCCCTCCCCCCCACCCCCCGCTCTCCCCCCTCTCCTCCCCCATCCCCCATGCCACATATCCCCCCTTCCCCCAGGCCGCACATGCCCTCATCTCCCAATCCTTCTAACTCAATGTTCATGTTCATGACGTCATCTTCTTGCTCTCTCCCCTCCATGACGTCAGAGGGAATGCCACCTGCCTCCATCCCTCCAACCGCCTGTTGGCCCTGATAAGCAGTCGGAATTTGCTGAAAAACAGCTGGATTTTGATGATAAGGAGTCTGCTGCTGATAAGCTGGCAGCTGGTTTTGATAAGCCGGCAGGATAGGCTGATAAGCAGGAAGAACTTGCTGCTGAAAAGCACCCTGATTTTGCTGATAAGCAGCCTGATTTTGCTGATATGCAGCCGGATTCTGCTGATAAGCACCCACATTCTGCTGAGAAGCACCCGAATGCTGCTGATAAGCAGGCCCACCGCCCGACTCCCCTTCGCTGCTACAAGCCCTCAGAGCCGACCCTCTCCCACTTTCCACCTCCACCTCTTTCAACGCCCTCTTCCTCTTCAGGTGCCGCAGACTTCCCTCCTTCCTGCCCGCCTGCTGCCCTCCCCCTCCCTCCCCCCATTGCGCCCCCCCCGCCCCTGCCTCTCCCCCCACTCCCCCCTGCCCTTGCGTGTGGGTTGCTTGCCCCTGCCTGCCAGGTAGCCCCTGGTTGTCTCCCTGCCTAGCTGTCTGTGAGTGTGGGTGATAGTGCCAGTCTGCGCTCCTGCCCTGCTCAACCATCTCTTGCTTCACACCCACCACAAGCCTTGGCACCTGCTGCTGCTGCTGCTGCACCTGCAGAAGCCCTTGCTGCTGTTGCCCATGCAACTGCCCGGGCTGCTGCTGTGATGGTCGGCGGTGCTGCTGCTGCTGAGTCGGCAGCTGGAGCCTCTGGGTCTGCACGTGCTGCTGCTGCTGCTGCTGCTGCTGCTGCTGCTTCTGAATCTGCTGTTGCAAGTCAGCCAACTGTGGGAAATGCGTGGGGGATTGCACATACTGTTGCTGCTGTTGCTGTTGCTGATGCATCTTCACCACCCTCTTTCGCCTCAGCTCATGCGCCTGCAGCTGCTTCTGCTTCCATGCCTCTCCTGCAGCGTCACACTGCACCACACCTGCCGCACCACTCTGCACCACACCCCCTCCACCACTCTGCACCACACCACCATCCTGCACAACACCTCCGGCACCACTCTGCACCGCACCAGGGGGCGTTACTTGCACGCCCAAAGCAAATCCACTGGGGGCAGTCACCCCAGAAGCAACGGTCGGCTGGGAGTATCTGGGAGCCCATTGACCCCCAGCAGTGCCGAGCCTGGGTACTGGTTGAGGCCCAAGGGACTGAAGAGTCGTACCACCACCGCTCCTGCTGGTGCTTTGCAGAGACAGCGCCAGAGACACTGGCCGGGATGCTGCTGCTGCTCCTGCAGCTGCTCCTGTGGCTGCTTGTGGTGGTGCTACTGCCGGTGGTGGTGCAGGTGCGACCATCGGTGCCATTCGCATCTGTGGTTGACTTCCCAGCACTGCCGTTGGCCTTGGCACCAGCACCGCCTGCTGCTGAAAAACCTGCGCCTGTGGCGGCTGCTGCTGCTGCTGCTGGTGATGATGCTGCTGCTGCTGCTGGTGATGATGCTGCTGATGCTGCTGCTGCTGCTGCTGCTGCTGCCGCTGCTGTCCCTCTGCTTGCTGCTGCTCGCGTGACGAATGCCCATCCGGTAAAACATTCCACATCCCAACACGTGCCTTGTGTACCCCAGGCTTCACAGGGTAAACAGGTAGTTTACCCACCTCCGGGGCAGCAGAGGCAGCAGGGGGCAGGGCGAAGGGCAACCAGGAGGCGACAGCAGGGGAGTAGACAGGGGGAGGGGGGGCTGCAAGGGGGAAGGACGCAGAGATGCGCTTGCAGAGGTTTGAGGGGACGGGGTTCGTGCTCCTCGTGACACCTTGCCCGCTCGCCCTTCCCCCCCTCGCCCTCCCTCCCTTCGCTCTCCCTCGCCTCCTGTTTCTCGCCCTCCCCCTTCTCCTCCCCGTTCCCGGCCTTCAGAGGCACCACCTGAGGAAGCACCACTTGCACCAGCACCAGCGCCACCGGTAGCACCACTGGCAGCCGCAGCATCACCAGCAGCAGGCTGGGAGTACGCTCCTGGTGCGACGGCAACAACAGGACCCCCTGTACCCATGCCATGTTGCCCGCGCTGCCCGTGCACCCCACGAGAGCCTGAGAGCCGCTGGGAGGTGTGGCCAAGGGGAGAAGGCACGACCATGGGAGGGGCCTTGGTGGGGGCAGGCGCGTAGGCGGGGATTGCGCATGCGGCGGGGGGCGTATGTACTGCTGCTGCTGGGGCGGGAGAGCGTAGTATTGCTGAGGAGCCATTGGGTAGATCTGATGCTGCTGCGGCAGGGAGAACTGAATCTGCTGCGGCTGCTGATGCTGCTGCATGGGACTAATATGCTGCTGTGTGAGAGGGCTCATTACAAAGAAGCTGCCAATGGGGGGCATTTGGGGCGAGTACACTGGAAACCCCATACAAGCAGGCCCATTAACAGCTGCAGGTGAGCTGCCGGGATGCCAAGGAACAATGGACCCACTCCCACCCGCTGTTGCAGTCCCGCTCGTACCACGTCTGTTCCCCGAATCAGCCCCACCTCTTCCCCCGCCTCCGCCTCCTGCATTCACTCCAATTCCCCCAGACTGCTGAGACTTGGTGCGCTTCGCCCCTGGTTCGTCTGACGTCACGCCCTCCTCACGCGCACCTCTCCCACCCGCCTCACTCCCGCCACTCAATTGTGAAGTCGACTCGAAAACCGGCCCCCCCGCTTCACCATGCTCTTGGTGCTTCCCCGAATGTGACTGTGCCGCAGCCTGCACTTGACGCACATTCGCTGCAGGCTGCAGCAGGGGCGCCTGCGCCGACGCGCGCTCTTCGCCTGCGGACCGGGGCGCATTCCGCTCAAAAGCCGCCGAGCGGGGCGATTCGAAAAGCGGGGAAGCGGGAATCGAGAAGGACGGAGAGATTGCATCGCCGCTCCGCGCCCTACGCGGCTGCGGCCGCACCAAGCCAGCGGAGCCCTTCTCTGGGCTGCTTTCCGCGTATCTACCTTCTGCGCCCTCCCTTTCCGTGCCCGTACGCTCCGCGCGCCTACGTTCCGCGCCCGCCGGTAAAAATGACGGCTGCTGCGCGTGCGCGGGGGATTTCAACGCCTCACCTTCTTCTACCGTTAGCCCCGCTCGTTCAGTCTGCGAAGCTCGTGTATTGTCACCATCGCCCCCATCGCCCCCATTACCCTTGTCACCCTTATCACCCGGGTTCGTATCATGCCGATCCTCGCCGTCTTTAGCGCTGCTCGCCGCCACAACTCTTCCTGATAGCCTGCTTTCTCCCCCGTCCTCTTCTCGCGCGCCCTCCTCCTTCTCCACCACTCCCGATCCGTCCTCACCGGTTCCTTCGTCGTTCGACTCCGCGCCTCCACTGTCGAGATTCGACGACGAACGGCTGTTGCCGCTGGAGTTGGGTACGTCAGAATTCGCAATTTCGGTTGCGCCATCCTCGCTATTGTCCGCACGCGTTGTTTGTTTGTTCTCGAGATCTAGTACACTCACGCGTTCCGTAAGTGTTGAGCCTAACGAGCCAACTACGAACGACCTCCCTCCCGTGGTAACATCAGCTCGCGACAATCGGTCGCCATGATTCGCAAACTCGCTTTCGCGAGGGAACACCTCGCCCGACGCCCCACCAACGTGCTGCTGAGACTCGTGCCCACGCATTTCCGTGCTGGGAAAATCTGTACCACCACCATTCATCTCCCTCTCGCTGCTGGCACGAACCCCAGCACCAGCTGCACTGACAAATTCTCCAGGCGCCTCCTGCGGAGGTGAAAGCGGTGGAGCAGAGCCGTGCGGGGCATTCGAGTCTGCAGCACGAAGAGCCGCCCTCTCCTGCTCTGACCGCACGTCACGCCGGTCGACAAGCCGACGGCCATCGCACCCCACCGCTCTCCATCTCAACACTGACGGACCCGAACCCGCCGCACGGTCGTCTGCATCACCACCAGACCTCTCGCCCCTCTCGTCCTCGTTCTTGTCGTTCTTCTCAGCATTTTCCGCCTGCTCATTCTTCTCTTCCCCTTCAACATCGGGGTCAGCGTTACCGCCGGCACCAGCATCATATCTGCTGCCAACAACAGCAGCAGCGTTACCGCCAGCACCCGCAGCAGCGGTACCACCGGCGCCAGCGGCGGAGACGGCGCGAATGGCGCGCTGCTCCGCGCCCATAATGAGGCACTGCTGCAGCAGCGACCGCCCGCGCATCCCGCCGTACCTCACTCCGCTACCCGGCGAACCGCTATTAACCAATCGCGCCGATCCCGCCGCCCCACTCTCCCGCCTCGCGCCCGCTAAATCAATCGCCTCGTCCTCCCTCCGCGCAGCCTGACCATTTTCCCGCGCAGCGTCTCCCTCCTCCTCCGCCGTTCCCCGCCTGGCTGCCCGCGGTGAACCGGAATGGGGAGCGGCGGAAACCATGGCGGAAGCGGAAACTGCCGGATTTTCTGCGCTGTCGGCGGTTGGTCCGCCAGGCGCTTGCGGCGGGGCGGATTCTGGGGGGACGGATCCGGGGGGCTCTCCCTTGGAAGGCGACATCCTGGAAGGCTGCTGGTGCGCGCCGGGATCCAGGTACGGTAGGGCTGCTGCTGCCACACACGACCCAACCAACAGACACACGAAACGACGTATGAGTCGAATGAATTGCTTGCCTGCTGCCATACACAACTAACGGAGAAAGAAAAACGAGAAAATACCTGAAGAAAAATTAGCTGAAATGCTGACACGTCACAGCACTCACCGCTGTAGCCGCGCACGATCGCCGGAAGCCGCGGCGAGAAGGGCGGGAAGTCGCCGAGCTTGTCGAGCGTGTACTTGGTGCTCGCGGGCGGCGATAGCCACAAATTCGGCTCCGCCATGTCGCCCAGCTCCATCGCACACAGTCGCAGCGGCGACGGCGAGCACAGCGGGATCGGCGAGTGGTACGAGAACCCCAGCCCGCCGCGATTGCTGGGCGACGAGGAAGCTAGTCCGCCTCTAGGCGACGGCGTCGGAAACTCCACTTTCACGTGCAGCGGCAACTGACCGCTCGCGATATTTTCTCGATAACTCTCCATTGTCGCCGTCGACTGTACGGCATCCCGGGACTCTGGTCCCATGATTGCTGGGGGCGTGGCGGTCTCCGGATTGCCTCGAGCTTCCGCGGGCAATCCCCCCTCCTCGTCTCCGTCGCCTCTCATCGATTCGCTTCTAATTGCAGCGTTTTCGGCGCCGGGGATGGCAATCGTTGAAAAGTCGGGTTTCACCTCGGCGGCGGCGGAGTCGTCTGTGTGGTAACTCTGTTGCAGCCGGTAGACCAGCTGCGGGTCGCCCTCCCATAGCTGCGTGCGGCGGCCTCCTCGGCTCGTTCGCTCGCCTCCCCATCCCATCTGCCCGTGAAACCCGCCGGGAAACCCGCCGGTGGGAGTGCAGATGATAAGATCGTCCCACGAGCCTTCTATCATCTCGTCGCCCGCGTTCCCGCCGAACAGATCCCCGGAAACGCCGCGCACGGTGGCGTTGACTCCGTTGACTCCATCGGTTCCCATAAAGGTTCCCTCAATACCCGTTGCCGCGGACACAGGCGCAGCGAAGGATGACGCGCGGAAGAACGAAACCGGCCCTGCGGGCATCATCCCTCCGCCGTGTCCAGATGCGCCCACAATTTGCGCCCCGCCGACAAGTTGCGCCCCGCCCATAAGTTGCGCTCCGCCCATGAATTGCGCTCCGCCCATAAATTGCGGCGCCGCCAAGAAATGCGGCGGCTGGATCCACTGGAGCTGGCCGTCCTCGGAAGCGGCGGGGACGAGCGACACCAGCGCTCCGTCCGGAGCTGGCAAGGGGAAACACGCACAAGGCGAAGGAGACAGGTGATATGATCGAATTAGCTAACAACGGGGGTGTCAATCGGAAACCAGAGGTCCAGTAGTGCCATCTAGGCGACTTTTGACACCGGTTTGGCGGCTGAGATGGCCTTGGCCAGCGGAGGACGAGGTAGGATGGTTCGCGGAAAACGGCCAGGTTGGGTTTGCAGGGTTACCATGTAACGGAAGGGGGGGCTGAATCGGCACTCCAGGAACGGTCGTCAGCCCGGACTGCGTCTGCTGCGGCGGCTGCGTGGCAGGCGTCTGCACGGATTTGACTTCCGCCGTTTGCGGCGTTTGCGCCCCGGCAGGAGTGAGAGGGCTGTTGCTGCTCCGCGTCACCACGTGGTGCTCTTGCGCGCGCCGCACGCCGCTCTCTATGTGGCCACGCGCGGGTGATGCTTTCTCAGGCGAGGATGACGCCTTCGTGCTACGTTGCTTTTCCCCAGTCGTGGCGACGTTCCCAAATTCTCCTCACCACCCATCTTATCGTTCATCCCTTCTTGATCACGCCCCTGATTGTTCTCCCCATCCTCCTCCGCGACGTTTAGAGCCTGCAAATCCTTCTCAAAGTCGCCGTGCTCTGAGTCAAACTCATTTCTTTCTCCCTCGCCACCTTCCCGCAGCATAGCCGCTTCCACTCCTGGAGGTGTCATTGCTTCAGTGCCGCCTCCAGCCGTTGGTTCAGCTGTCGGGGTCTCATCCGTTTCATTCGCCCGTTCATCTGCACGCTCAGCACCATCATTCCCTGACTCGGGCTCAGCAACAGCCCGTTCAACTGTCCTCTCAGAATCGTCGTCAATCTCTTCCGACGAAGTCGAGCGGAATCCGAGCTCCATGAGTGCCTCCGCTGCAGTCGACGCGTGCTCCTGAACTTGGGTGTGCGGCACGGACGCGTCCATTACATGGAGGACCCCTGTCACAGACATACTCGCTGTTCTCAGAAAGGCAAGCGACTATAGAACCTTGAGTCTTCACAGAATCCTTCAATGCACGGTAAAATGAGGTGATTCAAAGGCGCGAGAAAATTAAGTAGAGACCAAATTGCAAATCTCCAAAGAATGCTCAAAGGCGCGAGAAATCTACCTCAGCGGTAAGATCCAGAGGATGCCAACCAAAGAACCTTATCCTCCGATATCCACGGCTGTTAGAAGAGGCTCAAGACCGATAAGCAGTGGCCTTTACGATCTCCTTTCCGTAGAGATCCCTGCTGTGCTCCCCTCGATCACGCCGAGATCTGACTCGAGATCGGACTGGTCGAAAAAGAGGCAACCAAGAGACGTCAAGTGAGGAAGAGAAGAGAAAGTAGACTGACGCGCATTGGGAATGACAAACTTCACGAGGAGCACGTGACAGTAGGAGACGTCAGAAACAAGTCTCTGGAAAAGTGCGGAACCCGAGGCTGGTTTGGGCCTGCTATGAGTGGTCCTGTGGGGGCCCTGGGTCGACTATTCAGGCTTAGAGAGCAGCAGCAGGAAGGAGCCTCTTTTTGTCTGGATGAGCATCGAGTATAGTGCGGCTTGGGAGCTAGGGATAAGGTGATGTGAGGAGAACCGTGAGAGAGACGCCTGTAATTGAATTCCCCATGGCCCGCCTGTGTCATTTTCGAGGCGCCATGGGGACCTGCTGCTTCGAGAATGCCGTAGCGCCAGGTCTTGAGAGCTGAAGCTTGGGACCACCCGAGCCGCCATGGAAAGGTTCGGCCTTGCCAGGCTTGACACGCAGGAAATAGCAGACTGACACGTGGAAAGCTGCAAATTTCATGGGATTTGCGCTTCCTCTACTTTAAACTCTTTGAATGATATATAATAGGCTGTTGAATTGATACAAGCACAATGAGGATGTAATTACAGCCTAAATATAAATCAGTCCTTTCCTAAGTGTGCTCACTCAATACGAACTACATGTTCCTGTATCATAAATATATATTGAAGAAAATACGGGCGTGTAATCATCATTGGTCTTATCGCCCCGTTCAATGTTATCGGGGCTGATATCTGGGGTGATAAGGTATGAGGGAGGTGTACAATTATTGATTGGAAGCAATTCCACTTACTAACCCTACACTCGCAGACTTGCCTTCCTCAACTGGTCGTTCTTATAGAGCGTGGGCAGGGCTGTCGTTTCGTTTTGGCTCCCCCGGACAAATCAGGGGGCCCGGCATGTACGACCCTGTATTTAGCAGGGTCGGGGCGAATCTCGGCCCTTTAGGCTTCAGGGCTGAAATTTATTCCTCCCTGTAAATCAGGTTTGCCGCGGAAAATTCTGCAGCCTCAGTTCTACCACAAAGCTGACAGCTGCACTCCGCTAGTATCAAATTAGCTAGTTAGCAATAAAAAAACTAGTTAGCGTCATTCACTACGCACGCGTAACAGACTTCCTCCTCTTCCAACTCTTAGCAAAGATCTGAGATGTGTTTTGCTGCTTGCTATTCCCATTCAGGCCTGAGGGTGCACAACATGACGGGGATCTGAGATGTGTTTTGCTGCTACATGTTGGTTCATGCTACTGTCTGTGTGTCATGGGATGGGAGCGGGTTGTAATTGGTACAAGTACCAGTTGTTGGTTGAGTTGAATCTGTGGTCCAGCCACGCAACTCCAAATTTGACAGGCTTGAATGCAATCAAAATAGAAACGGGGGGAGGGGGAATGGAGGAGTTTGGGGGGGGAGGGGGTGGGGAGGAGTGGGAGGGAGTTCGAAAGACTTGTTCCAGGGCTCGCCTAAAATCTACCCTTAACACTCCAGACCTAAGGCCGAAATCAGCCCTGTAATGAATCAGGGCCACAATTTTCTCAACCCATCAATTTCAGTTTTCAAGGGAAACCCAGCCCTGGAATTCAAGGTCCAGCAGGGCAAATGCCCTGCAAGCGACAGGCCTGAGCGTGGGACACAAGTGTGAGGACAAACGCCATGTCACCTCATTTTTAGCGAATGATACTCGAGGAATTTGCCACGTGATACAGGCTGCTAGAAAACGGACCAATCCCTCACCGTCTCGAAAACTGTTTTCCTGAAGCCACACTGTTCCTTTCACAGTCAGAAAGACCCGCTCCAGGTTTGTGATTCTTTTGTTCTGGCTTAGTGTGAACGAGCCCTAGCCTCGGGATCAGTCCGTCACACCTTGAATTGGCTCGTCTGCTCCACCCTCAGTTGATATTCCCAAAAGCTAATTGAAGCTGGCTCGAGCAGGTCTTTAGTGGGTCGCTGCGCTCTTTGCTCCGTCTTTGTCCGCCGCTTCGCTCCTCCGCATAACGTCCTTCGCCTGATCGTATCTCCCGTCCCACCGCACATCCCTTCCCACCGTCCGATCTCCTACCATCCGATCAACGCGTCCTTGCACGCGCACAATCGATATCATCGATCTCGCCCATCTCGCATCTTTTTCCGATCCACTCACTCCTCGCCACCCACAATGGCATCTCTCGTCTCGCGTATCGCGTCGCGGTCCAGATCACACGCCGCGAGGGCCGCGCTTAACGCGTTCAACCTGCAGCCGACTCGAAACGTCACGTACATGCCCAAGCCGGGCGAGGGCGCGACGCGCACTGTTACGCTACTCCCGGGAGACGGAGCCGGACCGCTGTGCACGAACGCGGTGGAGCAAGTGTTTAAAGCCATCCACGCGCCCGTGGTGTTCGAGACGTACGATCTCAAGGGCACCATGCTCACCGTGCCCAATGAGGTCCTCGACTCGCTCCGCCGAAACAAGGTCAGACTTTTGTTTGAGAAAAAAACAAATAAACAAACAAAAAAAATAACATGTCCTCGCATTCCCAGCTTCAATCCCAATAACCTGTGTTCCCGATTCACATACCATCCCCATCTCGCGACTTGTCATGAAATGGCAGTCGGTAAGCGCTTAATGTCTTCTTTCTGTTATTTCATGGGAACGGCCGATCGCCACTTTCGGTGCAGGTGGGGATCAAGGGAGGCGTGCGAACGGCCGTCGCAGGCGGAGTCAGCTCGCTGACGGTGCAGCTGCGAAAGGAGTTCGATCTTTTCGCGCATCTCGCCTACTGCAGTAACTTCCCGGGGCTGAAGACGCGGCACGACAACGTGAACATCGTGGTGATCCGCGAGAACACGGAGGGCGAGTACAGCGGGCTCGAGCACGAGGTCACCCCCGGGGTCGTCGAGAGCCTCAAGGTATGGCACGCGAGGGGACTCTGAGTCGACTCAAAAGTGACCCGCGAGAACACGGAGTGCGAGTACAGCGAACTCGAGCACGAAGTCACCCCCGGGGTTGTCGAGAGCCTCAAGGTATGCCACGTGGTGCTGAAGCGGCTCAGATTATGCGTGCACAAGGCAAACATTCTGAAGTTCGCCGACGGCCAGTCCCTCCTCCCTTTCGTGCCGCCTCTCTCCTCCTTCCCCTCCCGCCTGCTCTCTCCCCCTCGCTCATTCCGCATAGCCCCTCCCCCCTTCCGCCTTCCCCCTTACCCCCTCCGGGGTTCCGCCCAGGTGATTACCAAGTTCTGCTCGGAACGCATCGCGAAATACGCGTTCGAGTACGCGTATCTGAACAACCGCAAGACGGTGACGGCGGTGCACAAGGCGAACATCATGAAGCTCGCGGACGGGCAGTTCCTGGAGTCGTGCCGTGAGGTGTCCAAGGCGTACCCGCAGATCAACTACAACGAAGTTATTATTGATAACTGCTGCATGCAGCTCGTTTCCAAGCCCGAACAGTTCGATGTCATGGTGGGTTGTTGGGTTGAAAAGATGAGGTGGTGGAAGGGTGGTGCGTGGGGAAGGGGACTGCAGTGGTGTAGGTGCAGGGGAATGGGGTGGTGTGTACAATGCAGTGGGTGAGTGTCCAAGGCGTACCCGCAGATCAACTACAACGAGGTCATCATCGACAACTGCTGCATGCAGCTCGTCTCCAAGCCCGAACAGTTTGACGTCATGGTGGGTGCAAGGGAATGGGGGGAGAGATGATGTGGAGGGGGGGAGACTGAGGTGCTGTGTACAATGGAGTGGGTGCAGGGGGGTTGGCTACTGCTGCGTGCAGCTCGCGTTCAAACCGGAGCATGGTTTGGACTTTGACGTGATGGTGCGTGGGGGAAAGGAGGAGGGGGTTGGTGCGTTGGGTGTTTCGGGCAAGTGAAGCAGCGGGAATGAGGTGGTGTGGACGTAGTAATGGGTGCAGGGGGGATGTTAACTGCTGCATGCCGCCCAGCAGTTGGACTTTATGCTGCGTGCGGGGAGCAAGGGGACAAGCGCTGCATGCAGCAGAGGAGGGGGGCAGGCAGGAGGTGCACAGGGGGGACGGACGAGTGCTGAGGGAAATAAGCCCAGGGACAGCCGAGCGTGGCGTATTGGTCATGTGTGCAGGGGCGGCAGGGGAGGAGAAGAGGGGGGAAGAAACAGGGAGGGGAGCGGGGGCTACAAGGTGGGCGGCGAGGTGGCAGAGCGGAGAGTGAGGGCTCAGAGTGGCACGTGGAGCTGGCTTGGAGTACTGAATGGATGACTAGATGACCCGTGAACTTAAGCTTATGCCAAACAGTCAGTGGTCGAGTCCAGGTGGGATAGGGAGTGGGTTGAGGAGGGGGTGGGGGGGACCATGAGGATATGGGCAACACAGGGGCTGCATGGCAAGCCGAGAAACTGGGGCCATAGTGGCCTTCAAGGGTGGTTGAGTGTGGCCGATTCTTGGTGGAGTGTCTGGGGGCTTCGAAACTGGCCATTTGCTGGGGGCATTTAATTGAGTGTGTGGGGACAAAGAGGGCACATTTGATTGTTGCCGAGTGCTGGGAGAGAAAGGGTGGTCAGGAAGGGGAGGGTGGGGGAAACAGGGGAGTGAAACGGAAGGGAGGGGGGGGGAGAGGTTTGTGAAATTTGATTCGTTCTGTTTGTCTGGATTGGTTCGGAGTGTATGGGGACATCATAGTCTGAACATCCATGCTCTCTCATCGTTGTGTGCTCTCCTATCAGTGACTCTGCTCATCTCGTTGCTCTTGCCGTTCCCTTCCACTCCCACACGACCTGCCTTGCATTGCCCCTCCCCATCCAGGTGACTCCCAATCTCTATGGCACGCTCATCTCAAACACAGCTGCAGGCATCGCTGGGGGCACCACTGTCATGCCCGGAGGTATGCTTGCTGCTCAAGTCTCGTTCTCGCTGCCACTGCTCCACAGTACGAGTGTGGTGTGGACTCGTTTGTAAATATGAACGCTTCCTGCTGGCCCTTCACGTCTTGACACCACCTCATGAAACTCTCATGAAACTGGTACTTAAAGTTAGTTTCCTTTTCCTTGTTACCTTGTGCTTCTGGGATTCTTCCAACAGGGAATGTGGGCTATGAGCATGCCATCTTCGAGCAAGGGGCATCGGCAGGCAACGTGGGGAACGACATCATCAACGCGCAGAAGAAAGCGAATCCAACGGCTCTCCTTCTCTCGGCAGCCATGATGCTGCGGCATCTGCAGTTCCCGTCATTCGCCGACCGGTTGGAGCATGCGATCTACGGAGTGATTGCTGAGGGACTCGTGCGCCCGCCTGCTATGGGAGGGGATTCGACCACGCAAGAATATGTCGATGCGATTATTGCCAAGCTAGATTGAACTGTTGTAGATGATAATACTCTATGTGAAGCTACAGCCTCTTCTAATTAAGAAAGATTCTCCGCCTCCAATGAGAGTGTAATTACTCAAACTACACTGTCTACTTTGTTTGTGTTTGTCCCAACCGTAATACGAAACTTTCCTTGTCTGTAGGGTGTCAGTAATCGAGTGCGTCAATATCGACCTCGGTTTCCTCCTCACCGCGTTGCCTGCACCTTTCTACCTTCATCTCGCCACGGAAATGCATTTCGTTCGCCATTCACCTCTGATACTGGAATCTCCCGATCCTGCTCCTTCGTTTCTAAGGTCGATCGGAAATCTGTTAGAATTTGCTCCCAACACGGCGTCGTAGTCGCCTTGTGATCGCAGTCGTGTCGCCATGAGCAGCATCGGAACTGGGGTGAGGGGCTAGCAGCAAGTGCTCTTGTATTAGCTCGTTTTAGTTCGCGATTGCCGGCATACAGTCATCCTGATCTCCTCTTCGTGGAATTCTAGACTTGATCTCGCTGATTCTGCGTGGATGGCGACGTGTTAGCCTCGCTTCTGATGTCATAGCCTGGATTTGTTTGTCGACGGCGTCTAGATTCAGTCACTTGAAGTTAGAGAGCTTTTGGCGAAACGGCAGTAGGAGTAGGTAAAACCGTGAAGACGGCTTACGAGGAGCTTCTCCCTTGGGATTGCCGATTTTCATTGCCTCCCCTTCCGTGTCTCCTGCTTTGTCGTCTTGTTTGAATCCCGTACAGTACGATTTGTCCGTCACAACCTATTCGCCTGATGGCCGAATCTTTCAGATCGAGTACGCTGGAAAGGCGGTTGACAATAGCGGGTACGTCACTCTGAATCAACAGGGCATCCTTGCTTGCCGTGTTTCCTCATTCCCCCGTTCTCTCCTTTTCGTCTCTGTTCTCCTCACTTCCTTCTCTCCCCCCTCCTCCACTCTCCCCCTATCTCCTTCCCCTCATGCTTTCCCTAATTTCTCTATTTATCAACATTCGCTTTCCTCCCTGCATAATTTTCCTCCACCATCGACGATTTCCTTCCTTTCTTCCTGGTTTCCCTCCTCCCTCCCCCGTCTCCCCTCCTCCTCTCTCCCGCGTTCCCCTCTGGCAGCACGGCTGTGGGTCTCAGGTGCAAGGACGGCGTTGTGATGGTGAGCCTTATAACGGTGTTAGTCTAATAACGGTGTCAGTTTTGTGACGGGATGAGCTTTATATGAAGGGGTGATAATTACAAGTTATAACGGGGTGAGTCTTACAACGAAGGGGTCACAGTTGGGACTCGTAACCGGTGAAGGTCATGACGGGGTCTGGGGTGCGAGAATGTTGTGTGCAGGTAGCGATTGATTTGCCGCAACACCCGAGTTTTGGGGTAATTCATTCCTTGTACCCTCTTCTACGATCACACCAGGGCGTGGCGTGGTGAGACTGTTAGTGTGGCTTTTGAGAATTCTCAAAGGTGCACGTGCAGGTGCAGGTGCAGGGCAGAAAATGGACGCACTTGATGCCTCTCTGCCTCCCTCGCACTGCCACGGTGTTGCCTTGCTTCCGTTTTCTTTCCCTCGCACACCTACTGGGCGTGGAGAAGCTGCTGATGTCCAAGATGCAGGTGCAGGGCAGCAGCCGACGCATCCGCATAGTGGACAAGCACGCTGCCATCCAACACACTGCATGGTTTTTTAGAATTCTCAAAATCCACATAGTGGACTTTTGAGTCGACTCAAAAGTCGCATCCACATAGGACAAGCACGCTGCCATCCAACACACTACATGCCTCCGCTCCCACCCCTCAGCCCCGGTCTTGCGTTGCCCAAAGCCCACACACCTCCCAGGGCGTGGAGATGCTACTGGTATCCAAGGCGCAGGTGCAGGGCAGCAATTAACACACTTCATGCCTCCTCTCCCACCTTTCTGCCCCCCCTCGCATTGCCACACTCCAACCAATCAGGGTGTGGAGAAGCTGCTGGTATCGAAGATGCAGGTGCAGGGCAGCAACCGGCGAATCCACATAGTGGACAAGCACGCTGGCATCGCTGTGGCAGGGCTCGTGGCGGATGGCCGCCAGGTGGTCAACCGCGCCCGCAACGAGGCTGTCAACTACAAGAGGTATGGATGCGTGCAAGGGGTGCATGCAAGGGGTGCAGCATGGGTGTGGGATGGGTGTGGCAGCACTCGGGCACTGCTGTGGCGGATGGCCGCCAGGTGGTCAACTGCGCGCGCAACGAGGCTGTCAACTACAAGAGGTACGGCATGCTGCTCCTTTCCACTTCCCTGCACCATGCGTGCAAGGCGTGTGTAGGCATGGGTGCATCATGAATGCAGCATGCATGCGTCATGTGTGCATCCTGCATGCAAGGCATGCTGCCCTTTACAATTTCCATGCATGCTTCCACTTGAGAGTTTTGCGACGTTCCAAAAGTCAAACCATATCTCCCCTTGCTTCCCCCCCACTTCCCCGCCCGCCTCCCTTCCCCCCTCCTTTCACTCCCCCAATCCCTCAGTTTTTTCGCGCACATGATTCCACTCAAGGTGCTGGCAGACTGCATGGCGAGCTTTGCGGTTTACTTGAATCACCACGTCATCATGCTCTATTGTTGACAACCCTCTACCCCTCCCTCCGCCCCCCTTCTTTCCCTTCAGTTTCTTTGCGCATATGATCCCACTCAAGGTGCTGGCAGATCGCATGGCAAGCTACGCGCACTACTTCACGCTCTACTGGTGGACGCGCCCCCTCGGCTCCTCCGTGCTGCTTGCTGGTTATGACCGCGACGGGCCGCAGCTCTACTGCATTGAGCCCTCAGGCGTCACTTATGTAAGCGCCAGATAGTGCCTGAGCTGTTACTTATGTAAGCAAGCGTTGAGGCGCATTAATACGTTCTTCCTTAGTTCTTCTGTGCTGCTTGCTGGCTATGACCTGGATGGCCCTCAGCTCTACTGCATCGAACCCTCGGGCGTCACTTATGTAAGCGCCAGCTAAGATGGTGCTTATTTCGTGCTTGCTTCTTGTCTCACACCCTTTCGCGTCCGCCCGCTCCATTGTGCCACCATGCAACCAACTACGATGATGTCAACTGTCTCGCCCTTTCCTCCCTCCCCCCGCAACCCTTCCACACACATGGGGTCATGACTGCAGCGGTATCACGGCACTGCAGTGGGCAAGGGAAGGCAAGCTGCAAAGACGTGAGCCCCCTCCCCTTCCCCTTCCCCTTCCCCTCCTCCCCGCATGACCCCCTTTCGCTCCTCCTTTTCTTCCTCTTCTGTTTCGCCCTGCACACATGGTTTCCACCATGCTTCTGTTTCTGTGCACTCACATGCATGTCTCTTGCTTCCACCTCTCTCCTATTTCATTCACCCGTCTTCCGCCTCCCCTCCCCGTTTCCTGCTGTCTCCTTCTTGACGCCCTTCTCCCCATATGCTTGACGCCCTTCTCCCCATATGCTTGACGCCCTTCTCCCCATATGCTTGACGCCCTTCTCCCCATATGCTTCACGCCCTTCTCCCCATATGCTTGACGCCCTTCTCCCCATATGCTTGACGCCCTTCTCCCCATATGCTTGACGCCCTTCTCCCCATATGCTTGCTGCCCTGGTATGACCCCTTGGCAGCGAGATAGAGAAGCTCAAGCTATCCGAGATGACGTGTCGAGAGGGGGTGAACGCTGTTGCCAAGATGTGAGCATCTCACACACACACACGCACGCACGCACATGTGTACATGCACACACGCACACACACGCACACACACACACACACACACACACACACACACTTTCACTTGCTAACCCCCTCCTTTCCATCCCCTTACCAAGCAGCATCGTTGGAGTGCATGACGAGGCCAAGGACAAGGCGTTTGAGCTGGAGATGGGGTGGTGCTGCGAGGAGTCCAACCGGCAATTCCAGAGAGTACGATCCCTGCAACCCTGCTTTGCACCACGCTTCCTTCCGGCCTGCCTTCCCCTGTTGCTCGCTCGCATGCTCCTGTTGCTCGCATGCTCCTGGGACTTTTGAGTCGACTCAAAAGTCACCTCGACCCAACAACCCTGCTTTGCACCACGCTTCCTTCCGGCCTGCCTTCCCCTGTTGCTCGCATGCTCCTGGGACTTTTGAGTCGACTCAAAAGTCACCTCGACCCAACAACCCTGCTTTGCAGCACAACTGTAGTCTGTCTTCCCTTGCTGCTCGCATGCTCCTGCCTTGCCTGTCCACAGCGTAGCACATGTGTCTCACGTTCGTGTCCCCTTCCGCACCCATCTCGCATTGGTCTTGTTTTCTTGCAATGTTCCACAACAGGTCCCGGATGACATAGTGAAAGCAGCGAGGGATGCAGCAGAGGCAGCCATGGATGAGGACATGGATGACTGAGGTGCTGCTCAGTGCTCACAGAAAGGACCAGGCTGCAAGGGGGGCTGCATGGCCTTTAATGGGAGGTTGCAATGGGGTTGCAATGTATGACTGAGGGTGCTCAGTGCTTACAGAAAGTTGGTGTTGTTGGGTTTTGAGATTTTTTCAACCAACCTGTAAGGGATGCTGCAGAGGTTGCAATGGGTAAAGACGTGGATGACTGAGGTGCTACTGGGCCATGGGGTGGGCTGGAGTTATGATATTTCATTGATTAGCTAGCCATGACTGCCACTCACGACTGTACAGATTGTGCTAGTGAGACTTGTGGCTGCGATCACAGTAGCAGCTCACCGCTACTTCAGAAATGGAATAATATTCTACTGTGCTCATACCGTATTCTCCCAGATAAAACACCCCCCCGTAATTGTACACCCCCGGGTAGCTAATACGGGGTGGGTGTTATATCCTACCCCGTTTGTACTATACCCCCCCTTTTGGGGTGATTTTCTATAACACCCCCCTTTTCTTATAGATTCATATTATAGCTGTTATCGAGTCCGATTCCTTACGGTAAGATATCGCGAGAATTGCTCCCTAGGTGAAATTTCGCGTGTACTTTCACTTAGAATCTGCCAAGATTTCCCCCCTCCCACAATCTCGCTGTCGCCACGCTGGCGAATCTTCCGCTGCAAGTGGCCCAATAGGTGAAAATTGTTGGGAACAATAAGTCTTAAGCGCCTCTGTCGTGTCGAAACTCAGGACACAAAGCGAAGAAGTCCAAATCGAAGCATCTCGAGTCAACCCTCGGAGGTTAGGGTAACCGCCTGAAGGTTACGGGAAGGTCAAAAGTCAGCGACCTTTGACTTGACCAATACAGCGCGACAGCAAGGACACACAACTGACTCGACATTGAGCAGTTGCCCGAGTCGCACTGTATCGAATCACAACAGCAAGGTAGTTTAATTACATCTATTCGTATTCCTTGTACTCTTATATAAAGCTTTGTATTTGCCTGTTTTAATCAACTTACTTTGCCCTCACATACCAGCGCAAGGTGGTTCAAGGCTTTCTTATTCAACGCTTCCGCTATTACATCATCCTACTCAAACTTTAACTCTACAAAGATCCTAGGGCACCTCAGCCCAACATGGTATGAGAGCAGTTAGAGCTTAAAAGTTATTCCTCCTTTTACAAAATACAAGAAGACTTGTCTACTAGGAAGGAGAGACGCTCCTCCAACGGTTCTTCAGGCACTACTCCTACTCCACCTCCTGTCTCTGGCCTACAGACAGAGGAAGGGACTACCACGAGACCAGCAGCTGGGTCCACGGAAACACCCGCAGGCTTCGATCCAAGCATGATGGAGAAATTCTTCTCCTTCATGTCCTTCTACGAGCAGCACCAGCAAGGAGTACCTGCGCAGTCAAACAACAGCAACAACAACAACGTGACTCCTATGAGTCTCGACGGCTCATCCTACGCACGCGGGATTCAACAACAACAACAGCAGCCTACCTTTGCGCCGTACGAACCCCAGCGTGGCTCCGTCAGCTTCATGCCGCAACCGCAATCTGCACCAGGACAAGAAAGGGCATTGGACGCATTACAAGTCCAGTCGCAATTTGCGCACGTCCTAAAACTGCAAACGACAAAGCCTTTCGACGGCAAAGATTTCTTCACGTGGTCGTTCGAGTTCGAATTGATGATGGAAGGAGCACAGATTCTCGGCTTCTTCGACGGGTCCCTCCCATATCCAACAAACGGGACACAATATGAGAAGGAGCAGTACACCTATCAGTCAATGATGGCGTACACGATACTGCTAAGAAACATCACCCCGACCCAGCAGCAGAACATCAGAACCTACCGAGGCTACGGCAACTCCGCGGAGCTCGCGTACAACCACCTGAAGAACCTGTATCAAGCAACAGACAGCGTAAAACAAAGCAGGTTAATGGCGCAGCTGACAACGATTGAAATGAAACCAGGCGAGAAAGGCATGGCTTATATCAGCCGCTGCCGCGAACTGCGCGACAAGCTTCTTCGATGCGGAGGGTCAATTTCAGAAGACGCCTTTGTCACGGTGGTCATCGGCGGTCTCGGCCCTCACTGGCGCTCCACTCGCACCATATTACGAGCACACGGGAGGATCTCCGAAGCGGCACTCTGCGCCGAAATCCACGCCGAGCAGCAGGACATGGACCTGCAAGAAGAAAGACACAAGAAGAAAACATTAGCACCGGAGTTTGCGTTTCACACTCAGCGACGATACAACGGCAACAACAATCGACAACAGCAACAAGTGAAGACGGTACCTCCGTTTTGTCACATTTGCAAGACCTCGGGTCATCCTCGCACACACTGCCCGTCCCGTCACCAGTCGACGACACCACAGCGACAACTCCGACCTTCAAGTTCCCAAGTTGCTTCAACGCAAGCAAATCCGACGACCACAATCCAAACTTCAACGACTTCAACTGGACAACCTGCACAAGGAGCAAGAAATATTGTCAATTGCATGGTAAAGATAACCGATTCCTGCACAACAGAATCACCACCCCACTACTCACCGGAAGAAGAGCTCGATAACAAGACGCCTCGCCGCGAGTCACTCAAACCGAATCCGACATACGCCGCCATTGCTCAAAGCGAACCGTCCGGCCAAGACACTTGGTTCTTGGACAGTTGCTGCGGACAACATATGTGCTCCTCCGGGCGCTTCGTTCAACGCGAGCATCGACTCCAGCGAGAAGTAGTTATCACGGTCGCCAACAATCAGAACCTGCGCACACGACGACAAGGAGTGGTACAGCTTCAGTCACGAGAGACAAATGTCATATTACACATGTCAAAGGTACTCATCACGGAGGGACTCGGCTATAACTTACTGAGTGTCAGCCAGTTGATGGCGAAAGGTATTCACTTGGAAGCCGACAGCACTACACAGGAGTTCAAGTAGTACCACGGGAAGGGCGGCCTCTACATCGGAAGGGCGGTGTTGAAGAACAACGTCTTCGTCCTCGATTTCGTCCCCGACCTGGGCACTGCAGATAGCGACGCCATCGTCAACTTCGCCGATTGGACACATCCCCCGGATCTCGATCCCGACTTCAGCCCAGGAGGCTTCTGGTACTCGCACACCATACCTGAAGCAGAACGAACACGCGCATTAGCAACGATTCAACAATCGGCAGCAGCAGAGACAACATCGGCAGCAGCAGAAACAACATCAGCAGCAGCAACATCATCGGCAGCAGCAGGACCAACGACACCAATCTCGGTCGACGAAGCACCACCAACACCCGCACAGCAGCTGAACCCGACTCAACGAGAAGTCCACAGAAGCGCACACTTCGTCGCCAACTTCTACTCCAACTCCGACGCGTATCAACGCTCACCCGGACACCGCGCTCCTGAAGACATCTGGCACGCACGCACAGGACATCCAAGCAACACAGTGTTAAATAACACAATTCGAGCAGGATTTCTAGACAAGGACTCGCTACTACTACCCGACGGCAGAGAACTTCAACGTGCACGAGGAACTTGCCTTATCTGCCCCGAAGCCGACTTACCCCATTGACCGTTTTCTTCTCACCTCAACCCAGGCGCACCTACATACAAACCACTCGAGAAAGTATACAGCGACATCCTCTTCAATCGAGAACCAGGACAAGTCACCTACAATTACACGATAACCTTCATCGACGCCGCCACTCGATACGTCTGGAAACCTACCCAGCCGCGACATGGCTCTCGCAGCGTTCGCCGCTTGGCTACCGGTAGTAGAGAGGGAATCAGGAACACAACTGAAAAGCTTTCATTCAGACGGAGGAGGAGAGTACACCTCTCAGCGCTTCAAGCAGTACCTGGCGGAAAGGGGAATCAAGCAACTCCTCTCCCTTCCCTACATACATCAGCAGCAAGGTGTCGCAGAAAGAATAAACAGGACTCTGCAGAACAGCATGCGCAAACTGCTACGTGGCATGCGGCTACCCAACCACCAGTGGCCTGCAGCAATGGACCATGCTGTCATGCTGCACAACTTGCTGTCGTCGTCGTCACTCCCGAATAACGCATCACCGCACCTGCTGTGGACAGGGAAGCAGGGCAGCACAAAAATGTTACGAGTTTTCGGGTGCATGGTACAATACCGACCCCCAGAAGCACGAGCGGGAAGATTTTCACAACGGGTACAGTGTGGACTACACCTCGGCATCGAGAAAAATTACAACGCGTGGAAAATCTTCGACGTCCACTCAAAGGAAACAGTAGCAGCACGTGATGTGATCTTCTACGAGCGACTCACCCTTCAAACGTACCTCGCCAACTTGCACGAGAATCAAAACCCCACAGGTGGCTTTCGTGGTGACCGAGCCTTCGCCTCAGCAGCGGACGAAGCAAACTGGGATGAACAGAATGTCGACAACGCATCGGAAGAAGTCGGACCTCTCCCGTTCTGCTCCGTCAACGTGCCCATGGACGAAGAAAATCCTCGCGACAGTGCCAACGCCGAAGTCTTCTATCACTTCGCCGACAACGGTTACATAACACCTGCGACAGTCAACACAAATGAAGCAGAACGGATAGGGCCAAATTTCATACCCGATCCAGAAGCGGGAGACGAAGCAGCTTATCCCGAGGATCCAACACTCCCCCGATACTCACAGACTGGGCTGCAAATCCTCGGCCTTGTCACCGCAGTGCACGGCAACGCGCTTCCTAAGGAGCCTGCGACGGTTCAGCAGGCTCCGGGGGGGGAACACAGGGAGAAATGGCGTGAAGCCATGGACAGAGAACTCAAGGCATTGGAGGAACGCAACACCTGGAAGGTCGTTCCCGCAAGCGTGGCAAGGAACAAGACTATTCTCACCGGGAAATGGGTCTTCCGCATCAAAACGAAAGCAGACGGCACGATCGAGAAATTCAAAGCACACTGGGTCGTGCGTGGATTCGATCAGGAGCAAGGTCGAGACTTCACCGAGACATTCGCCCTAGTCAGTCGACATACCTCTCTCCGAATCCTTCTTGCCGTCGCCACCATGAAGAAGAAGAAGCTGCGACAAATTGATGTCGCCAATGCATTCCTCTATGCACCCGTCGACGCCGAAATCTTCGTCGAACTCCCACACGGTACCCACGGAAACCCCAATCAGGTCTGTCAGCTACTGAAATCTCTCTACGGAATCAAACAAGCACCGCGGCTGTGGCAACAGCACCTACACACCCGCCTTACTCGCATCGGATTACGTCAACTACCTCACGACCAAGGGATGTACCGACTCACCAAAGACGCAGACTACATCCTGCTGATAGTCTATGTCGACGACTTGCTCTACATCGTCTCCACCGACGACGTCACCACCTGGTTCGAAGGGGAGCTGCAGAAGGACCTCACGCTCACGGTCTCTTCTACCGTCACGCAGTACCTCGGGCTCAACATCCGCGAAGAAGAAAATGCGATCTATCTAAGCGCCGAGAAATACGCCGACACGATCGCCAAGCGTTTTTCGCTCACACCTACCGCTATCGCCACGCCATACCGCTACACGGCAGGAGATGACAAAGGAAATTCCGCTCCACTCAAAGCTGCCGGAATACGAGACTACCAGAGGAAACTGGGCTGCCTCCTCTTCGCAGCCGTCACCTGTCGCCCGGATCTATCCTACTCCGCAAGCCAACTCGCTACCTACCTCAAGAAACCCGTAGCAGAGCACCTGGCGGAGCTCGATCGCGCACTGCACTATTTCGTGAGCACGCCGACGATCGGCCTGACTTACTACAAGAGCGAAGCTACGTCAACGAAACTAATCGGCTACGTCGATGCCGACCATGCCGGCGATTCAGATAACAGGCGCTCTCGCACTGGCTACGTCTATCGTCTAGAGCCTATCGGACCCATCTCCTGGCAGTCGAGTAAGCAGGAACTAATCGCTCTCTTTTCAGCTGAAGCATAATATATCGCCCTCTGCTCAGCCACCAAGGAAGGACTCTACCTTCGCGAACTGCTGGAAGAAGCAAAGTTAGCTGAGTTATCCAACTTCACCCTGTTCTGCGACAACCAATCTGCAATTCGCATCGCCAACAAAAGCGGATTCGCGAACAGAACGAAGCATATCGCTCTGCGATACTTCTTCGTGAAAGACGAGATCGAGAAAGGAAAACTCGAACTATCCTACTGTCCCACGTCCGAGATGGCAGCCGACTACTTGACCAAAAAGCTCGGAAAACAGAAGTTCGAGTACTGCATGCTGCCGACTGGACAAGGCCACGTCACCATCAGCGACACTCCAGAAGCGAAGGGGAGTGTTGGGAACAATAAGTCTTAAGCGCCTCTGTCGTGTCGAAACTCAGGACACAAAGCGAAGAAGTCCAAATCGAAGCATCTCGAGTCAACCCTCGGAGGTTAGGGTAACCGCCTGAAGGTTACGGGAAGGTCAAAAGTCAGCGACCTTTGACTTGACCAATACAGCGCGACAGCAAGGACACAGAACTGACTCGACATTGAGCACTTGCCCGAGTCGCACTGCATCGAATCACAACAGCAAGGTAGTTTAATTACATCTATTCGTATTCCTTGTACTCTTATATAAAGCTTTGTATTTGCCTGTTTTAATCAACTTACTTTGCCCTCACATACCAGCGCAAGGTGGTTCAAGGCTTTCTTATTCAACGCTTCCGCTATTACATCATCCTACTCAAACTTTAACTCTACAAAGATCCTAGGGCACCTCAGCCCAACAAAAATCACCTTCTCACATGAGGCACAGACACGTGACCAAACCAGTCAAGAAGTGACTGGTACAGTAAGAATGCACCACTGTGCGCGATTCTGGCCTCGGCGGTTGCATGAACCCTCGCCACGCAATTGGCTTTGTTTTCAGCCTATCAAGTGCCAGAATTGCCCACTCGAATTTGCCACGTGGCAGATTCCAGTGGGCGGTCACGCTTTCCTCGTATACTCGGTTTTGCGGCACTGGTCAACATTCTTGAAGTGGAGTCAGGCCCCTGATTTTGTTTCACATCTTTTCTACTTGATAAAAAATACACCATATAATAAGACCCGGGTATTATGTAGGATTTTCCTTTGAGGAGACCCCCCCAATTTTTTCCCAGTGGTTTTCATAATACCCTAGGGTGTTTTATCCGGGAGAATACGGTACCAGTGCCTGCATGCCTGCAGTGCAAGAGGGGTTTGCGTAGAGTGAGCATGGAGGCGGGCATGGAAGCAAGTCAGTGCCACCACCTCTGCAGCCAGGCGACAGGACCGTATCGCAGCAAGCAAAGGATAGTTGCAGGGAGGCACGGGCACGGACATTGCATCACAGCATCACAGCCAGCCGCGTTGCATCACAGCATCACAGCCAGCCGCGTTGCAGGCAATGCACTCTGGCCAGTGCTGCCATGTAATCCCCTGACCTGGCATGTCAGAGGAATGATGAGGTGAGAAGGTAAGGAGGTGAAGAGACGAATGGGAGAAGTGGAAAAGAGAAGGAAGAGAAGTGAGCAGGAAAGGAAGACCCGGAGGCAATTAAAGGGAGACACGGGCATCAGGGCCGGTCTCACGGCTAGTGTGTTCTCACGGCTAGTGTGTTCTCACGGCTAGTGTGTTCTCACGGCTAGTGTGTTCTCACGGCTAGTGTGGTCTCACGTAAAGAAATAAAAAACAAGCGAAAGAAGGAAACCCTGTTTACCTGAGCCCATAAGGGGATTGTGCAGCCTCGAGAATGTAACGCCTGCTCTGATCCTGGTCGCCCTGCAGCCCAGCATATTACAGGGGGCGCGAAAGCAATGTCGTGCGAATGAGTGCGATGCAGCAGGTGTGTGTGTATGCTATGCATGGAACAGTGTGTGGTCTAGTTTGAGATTTTACACCCCCAACGATCCCACGTCCCTCTCTCACCCCTCAACCCTGTATCGAGGGGACTCAAGCTGGTTTCAACTCGCTTCCATGGAACAGCGTAAGCATGTGTGTGTGTGTGTGTGTGTGTGTGTGTGTGTGTGTGTGTGTGTGTGTGTGTATTCGTGTGTGTGCTACTGACATCTCAAGAGGGTCTCACCTCGCTCTCATGGAACAGACCAACATAGAGATTTGCATAGAACAGTGCAGATGGCCGCCCAAAGTCAGCCGCCGCTGCTGCCAGGATCTGAACATGCAGACAAAAGGGAGGCACGGGAGGAAGTAAGGGGACAGGCGTAAGGATGACGCTTGGAGAGGAGGCTGGGGAAGGAGGCGTAAGGATGACGCTTGGAGACTCGGTTAATGAATCAAGTTTCTGAGATGATCTGAGAGGCCTGACACGGCAGCAGGGAAAATAGGCCGTGAGTTTTGTATCCTCGTTATAGCCTACCTTCTTAGGGTCACCGCCCGTCTGAAAGACGTCCATGGCAGCGCGCATGACAGGCCGAGGGTCCTGCCCCACGAGCAGAAACTGCTGCCTCGCCTGCTGTGCGCCCACCACGCGCGCCTCACTCAAGAAACACCAGATGGCCTGCCTCGCACGCAGCACAGGGGGCAAAGAGGAAACGTGGAGTGAGAATAGTTTTGAGCAGAAATGACATGCCGCAGAGGGCAGAGAAAGGGAGGTTAAGGAGAAAAGGGGAATAACGCTCTCTCTGCCTGTCTGGAAGGTGGCTCTCATTTGGAGCATATACAGTGAGCCTATGCCTGTAAAGGCCGAATGGAACATGAGTCACCGCACTGCACCTCACAACACCGCATCTCACCTGACCTCACTCTCACCACACCACAATGCACCGCACCTCCTCTGTGTCGTTGGGGTTCACCGCCACGTCCTTGCGAAACTGCTCCGCTGCTTCCTGGAATTTTCCAAGGTAGTAGAGTGAAAGGCCTCGCTGCCAAAGGTCTGATGGGGGAGAGAGGGGAGGTGCGGAGGAGGGGAGAGAGGGCAGGTAAGGAGGTGAGGGAGAGAAAGAAAGTAAGAGCCTGAAGAGGGGAAGGTGCGGAGTAGAGGGAGGGCAGGCAGGAGCAGGTCTATACAGGAGCAAAAAGATTTGGTAAGAGGAATGAGCAGGACGGGTGACTGGGACACGCATGGAGGGAGGAGAAGGATGAGCGAAGCAGAGAGGGAAAAGCAAGAAAGGGTACGTCCAGCTGTAGTGCTTCCTGCTACAGCCGGCACAGCACTCACAGCTGTAGCGCTCGGTCAAACTCCACATCGGAGTGGCGCCTCAAACGGCAATCACAAGGCACTCAAACGCCTCAAATGGCAATCACAAGGCACTCAAACGCCTCAAACAGCAATCACAAGGCACTCAGACGCCTCAAACGGTAATCACAAGGCACTCAGACGCCTCAAACGGCAATCACAAGGCACTCAGACGCCTCAAACGGCAATCACAAGGCACTCAGACGCCTCAAACGCCAATCACAAGGCACTCGGACGTCTCAAACGGCAATCACAAGGCACTCAGACGCCTCAAACGGCAATCACAAGGCACTCAGATGCCTCAAACGGCAATCACAAGGCACTCGGACGTCTCAAACGGCAATCACAAGGCACTCAGACGCCTCAAACGGCAATCACAAGGCACTCAGACGCCTCAAACGGCAATCACAAGGCACTCAGACGCCTCAAACGGTAATCACAAGGCACTCAGACGCCTCAAACGGCAATCACAAGGCACTCAGACGCCTCAAACGGCAATCACAAGGCACTCAGATGCCTCAAACGGCAATCACAAGGCACTCGGACGTCTCAAACGGCAATCACAAGGCACTCGGACGCCTCAAACGGTAATCACAAGGCACTCAGACGTCTCAAACGGCAATCACAAGGCACTCAGACGCCTCAAACGGCAATCACAAGGCACTCGGACGCCTCAAACGACAATCACAAGGCACTCAGACGCCTCAAACGGCAATCACAAGGCACTCAGACGCATCAAACGGTAATCACAAGGCACTCAAACGCCTCAAACGGCAATCACAAGGCACTCAGACGCCTCAAACGGCAATCACAAGGCACTCAGACGCCTCAAACGGCAATCACAAGGCACTCAGATGCCTCAAACGGTAATCACAAGGCACTCAAACGCCTCAAACAGCAATCACAAGGCACTCAGACGCCTCAAACGGTAATCACAAGGCACTCAGATGCCTCAAACGGCAATCACAAGGCACTCAGACGCCTCAAACGGCAATCACAAGGCACTCAGACGCCTCAAACGACAATCACAAGGCACTCAGACGCCTCAAACGGCAATCACAAGGCACTCAGACGCATCAAACGGTAATCACAAGGCACTCAAACGCCTCAAACAGCAATCACAAGGCACTCAGACGCCTCAAACGGTAATCACAAGGCACTCAGACGCCTCAAACGGCAATCACAAGGCACTCAGACGCCTCAAACGGCAATCACAAGGCACTCAGACGCCTCAAACGGCAATCACAAGGCACTCGGACGTCTCAAACGGCAATCACAAGGCACTCAGACGCCTCAAACGGCAATCACAAGGCACTCAGACGCCTCAAACGGCAATCACAAGGCACTCAGACGCCTCAAACGGTAATCACAAGGCACTCAGACGCCTCAAACGGCAATCACAAGGCACTCAGACGCCTCAAACGGCAATCACAAGGCACTCAGATGCCTCAAACGGCAATCACAAGGCACTCGGACGTCTCAAACGGCAATCACAAGGCACTCGGACGCCTCAAACGGTAATCACAAGGCACTCAGACGTCTCAAACGGCAATCACAAGGCACTCAGACGCCTCAAACGGCAATCACAAGGCACTCGGACGCCTCAAACGACAATCACAAGGCACTCAGACGCCTCAAACGGCAATCACAAGGCACTCAGACGCATCAAACGGTAATCACAAGGCACTCAGACGCCTCAAACGGCAATCACAAGGCACTCGGACGTCTCAAACGGCAATCACAAGGCACTCGGACGCCTCAAACGGTAATCACAAGGCACTCAGACGTCTCAAACGGCAATCACAAGGCACTCAGACGCCTCAAACGGCAATCACAAGGCACTCGGACGCCTCAAACGACAATCACAAGGCACTCAGACGCCTCAAACGGCAATCACAAGGCACTCAGACGCATCAAACGGTAATCACAAGGCACTCAGACGCCTCAAACGGCAATCACAAGGCACTCAGACGCCTCAAACGGCAATCACAAGGCACTCAGACGCCTCAAACGACAATCACAAGGCACTCGGACACCTCAAACGGCAATCACAAGGCACTCGGACGTCTCAAACGGCAATCACAAGGCACTCAGACGCCTCAAACGGCAATCACAAGGCACTCAGACGCCTCAAACGGCAATCACAAGGCACTCAAACGCCTCAAACGGCAATCACAAGGCACTCAGACGCCTCAAACGGCAATCACAAGGCACTCAGACGCCTCAAACGGCAATCACAAGGCACTCAGATGCCTCAAACGGCAATCACAAGGCACTCAGACGCCTCAAACGGCAATCACAAGGCACTCAGACGCCTCAAACGGCAATCACAAGGCACTCAGACGCCTCAAACGGCAATCACAAGGCACTCAGACGCCTCAAACGGCAATCACAAGGCACTCAGACGCCTCAAACAGCAATCACAAGGCACTCAGACGCCTCAAACGGCAATCACAAGGCACTCAGACACCTCAAACGGCAATCACAAGGCACTCAGACGTCTCAAACGGCAATCACAAGGCACTCAGACGCCTCAAACAGCAATCACAAGGCACTCAGACGCCTCAAACGACAATCACAAGGCACTCAGACGCCTCAAACGGCAATCACAAGGCACTCAGACACCTCAAACGGCAATCACAAGGCATCAGACGCCTCAAACGGCAATCACAAGGCACTCAGACATCTCAAACGGCAATCACAAGGCACTCAGACGCCTCAAACGGCAATCACAAGCCACTCGGACGCCTCAAACGACAATCACAAGGCACTCAGACGCCTCAAACGGCAATCACAAGGCACTCAGACGCATCAAACGCCAATCACTAGGCACTCAGACGCCTCAAACGGCAATCACAAGGCACTCAGACGCCTCAAACGGCAATCACAAGGCACTCAGACGCCTCAAACGACAATCACAAGGCACTCGGACACCTCAAACGGCAATCACAAGGCACTCGGACGTCTCAAACGGCAATCACAAGGCACTCAGACGCCTCAAATGGCAATCACAAGGCACTCGGACGTCTCAAACGGCAATCACAAGGCACTCAGACGCCTCAAACGGCAATCACAAGGCACTCAGACGCCTCAAACGGCAATCACAAGGCACTCAGACGCCTCAAACGGCAATCACAAGGCACTCGGACGCCTCAAACGGCAATCACAAGGCACTCAGACGCCTCAAACGGCAATCACAAGGCACTCAGACGCCTCAAACGGCAATCACAAGGCACTCAGACGCCTCAAACGGCAATCACAAGGCACTCAGACGCCTCAAACGGCAATCACAAGGCACTCAGACGCCTCAAACGCCAATCACAAGGCACTCGGACGTCTCAAACGGCAATCACAAGGCACTCAGACGCCTCAAACGGCAATCACAAGGCACTCAGATGCCTCAAACGGCAATCACAAGGCACTCGGACGTCTCAAACGGCAATCACAAGGCACTCAGACGCCTCAAACGGCAATCACAAGGCACTCAGACACCTCAAACGGCAATCACAAGGCACTCAGACGCCTCAAACGGCAATCACAAGGCACTCAGACGCCTCAAACGGCAATCACAAGGCACTCAGACGCCTCAAACGGCAATCACAAGGCACTCAGACGCCTCAAACGACAATCACAAGGCACTCAGACGCCTCAAACGGCAATCACAAGGCACTCAGACGCCTCAAACGGCAATCACAAGGCACTCAGACGCCTCAAACGGCAATCACAAGGCACTCAGACGCCTCAAACGGCAATCACAAGGCACTCGGACGTCTCAAACGGCAATCAAAAGGCACTCAGATGCCTCAAACGGCAATCACAAGGCACTCAGACGCCTCAAACGGCAATCACAAGGCACTCAGACGCCTCAAACGGCAATCACAAGGCACTCAGACGCCTCAAACGGCAATCACAAGGCACTCAGACGCCTCAAACGGCAATCACAAGGCACTCAGACGCCTCAAACGGCAATCACAAGGCACTCAGACGCCTCAAACGGCAATCACAAGGCACTCAGACGCCTCAAACGGCAATCACAAGGCACTCGGACGCCTCAAACGGCAATCACAAGGCACTCGGACGCCTCAAACGACAATCACAAGGCACTCAGACGCCTCAAACGGCAATCACAAGGCACTCAGACGCATCAAACGGTAATCACAAGGCACTCAGACGCCTCAAACGGCAATCACAAGGCACTCAGACGCCTCAAACGGCAATCACAAGGCACTCAAACGCCTCAAACGGCAATCACAAGGCACTCAGACGCCTCAAACGCCAATCACAAGGCACTCAGACGCCTCAAACGGCAATCAGAAGGCACTCAGACGCCTCAAACGGCAATCACAAGGCACTCAGACGCCTCAAACGGCAATCACAAGGCACTCAGACGCCTCAAACGGCAATCACAAGGCACTCGGACGCCTCAAACGGCAATCACAAGGCACTCGGACGCCTCAAACGACAATCACAAGGCACTCAAACGCCTCAAACAGCAATCACAAGGCACTCAGACGCCTCAAACGCCAATCACAAGGCACTCAGACGCCTCAAACGGCAATCACAAGGCACTCAGACGCCTCAAACGGCAATCACAAGGCACTCAAACGCCTCAAACGGCAATCACAAGGCACTCAGACGCCTCAAACGCCAATCGCAAGGCACTCAGAGGCCTCAAACGGCAATCAGAAGGCACTCAG